GACGTTCGTGGGCGCGTAGGACGGCCCCGACGGCTTCGGCGAGTCCGTGGGGCGCCACGTCGCCGTGGGCGCGAGCACGGGCTCCGCCGACGGCGGCTCCGTGGGCCGCACGGTCGGGCACTGGGAGGGCTCGTACGTCGGGCGCAGCGTCGTCGGCTCGAGCGTCGGGCACCGCGTGGGCGTCGCGGAGAACGTGTGGGCCATGGACGGCTTCTTGGACTTCGTGGGCACGACGGTGGGCGCGTAGGACGGCACGACCGTGGGCGGGTAGGTGGGCATGTAGGTGGGCGCGTAGGTTTTGCGCACGGGCGCGGACGTCGGGAGCTCCGCGCGGCTCGCGGCGTAGAACTGGCCCGCGAAGGCGTCGAGCGGGAGCGGCGCGTCGTCGTCGTCGGCGTTGGTGAAGTTGAACTGGCACGTCGCGTTGTCCTGCTGGCACTCGAACTCGCAGCCCGTGAAGTTGTTCGCCGTGTCCTTGAGGTAGACGCACCAGCCGACGTCGTCCGCGAAGACGCAGGGGTAGTTGAGGATGGGCTCCGGCAGGGGCGAGTCCGGGTAGAACATGCCCCGCGTGCTCAGCGCCTGGTCGTAGAGGTAGAAGAGGTAGAAGTCCAGCGCCTTCTGGAGCGCGACGTACTCGGGCCGGTCCGGCGCGTCCGGGTCGAGGAACTTGCGGCACTCGACCCAGCCCGGGTTCTGGCCGTAGCCCAGGGTGTTGAGCCCCGGCAGGCCCTGGAAGATCATGAAGCCCGTGTAGGGCAGCAGCGTGAACGCGTTGAGGCTCACGGTGATCTCCGGCAGCGACGGCAGCTTGCCGTAGACGCACATGCTGTAGGGGTTGACCTTGACCTTGTCGAGCTCCGGGTCCCACTTGCGCAGCATGCGCGTGACGATGTCGTTCAAGTCGAGGCCGAAGAAGCCGCCGAAGATGAACTCGCCGAAGGACTCGTTGATCGCCGGCGGGTTGATCGGCGTCTCCGTCCACGTCGTCCACGCCCAGTCGCCCTCCTGGAAGCAGTCGAGGAAGGACCAGTAGAGCGGCGGCAGGCGCACGTAGCGCGCGTAGTTGCGCAGCACGTCGTACATCTCGAAGTCGTAGCCGCGGACCGTCGAGCCCGCGTTCAGCACCGTGTCCTGGACGACGCGCGCGAGCTCGAGCATGTGGCTCCGCTGGAGCACGTCGCCGTTGGCCCAGTGGCCCCGGTCCGTGTAGATGCTCCGCAGCTGGTACTCGCGCTTGTCCGCGTCCCAGTGGTCCTCGAGGTAGACCATCTCGTCGAAGCGGTCCGTGCCCTCGCGGACGTAGAGCCGGCTCGGCCGCGTCTCCGTCTTCGCGGACGTCACGAGGCCCGACGCGCAGAGCAGCATCGTCGTCATGCCCACCAACAGCACGAGCTCCGCGTGGCGGCTGCAGAAGCCGCCGACGGCGTCGAAGAACGTCGTCGGCGTCTGGAGCGCGGCCCAGACGCGTTTCGGCGTGCCCGCGACGTAGGCCAGCGTGGCCTTGAGGGGCTTCCTGAACACGTAGGCGTAGAGGAAGTAGCAGATCGTGACGACGCCCAGGAGCCCGCCGAAGAAGCGGAACGCGTCGAAGCCCGTCGCCGTCTCGCCCGGCCAGTCGTCGTCCGTCGCGTCGTCGCCGGGGACGTAGGGCAGCGTCGGCGCCTCGCTCGTCGGCGCGGGCCAGGGCGCCGAGCTCGGCGGCGGCGTGCCCCGGAGCGTCGGCGCCGGCGAGTTCGACGGCGCGGCGCTGTACGTCGGCGCGGGCACGGGCGCGAAGCTGTACGTCGGCGCCTGCACGGGCGCGTCCGTCGCCGGGCAGGCGCCGAGGATCTGCACGCCGCCGCCGAAGCCCAGGTAGGACCAGGCGTGGCACGTGTTCATGGGCTCGCCGACCATGTCGATGAAGCAGATGCCCGTGCACGTCCCGCTGAGGCAGACCTTGAGCCGGAACGTCGCCGCGTCGCAGTCGAAGGCGTAGTCGCTCGACAGCTCGCCGACGCCCTCGACCTCGCCGAGGCTCGCGCAGCCGGCCCCGCTGAAGACGTCCGGCAGCGGCGACGCCCCGACGACGTCGCTGCAGTCGCCCTCCCTACGGTGCGTGGTTTGTTTTGGGGAGGGTGCTTGGGGGGCGGGGGACGCGGCGTCGCGCGAGTGCATCGCGAGGGAGGTCGTCGACGGGAGGTCCGAGACGTTCATGCCCGGCGGGGTCGCCATGGCGCCCGCGCGCGGGTCGCACCGCGCTGTTGGGAGTCTGGGGGTGTGGAATGGTGGGAGCTCCTGCTGCGCTGGATGTGTTGGCGTTTCATCGCGATCTTGAGGTATCTACTTGCAAACGGCACACCAACCATTGCCATTGGATCCTAGGTTGAAGAATCGCTGCGAAATGGTGGCATCCAAACTCGTGCTGCTCGGGCTGCTGTCCGCGACGTCGGCGCGGGGTGATGAGTGCGCCGGCGCCTGCTACGGCTGCCGCTTCCAGCAAAGCGCGGTCTGCGTGAATTCGTCGTGGGTGAATGCCGGCAGCTGTGTACACCGCCAGCGTCCTGCGGCCGTCACGATTTTCGAGAGACTTTGACCGGGAAAACGATGAAAGATCGTCACCGACGTGCTTGGTAGGTCACCGCCGTCGGTGGCCAGGTGCCCATCGGCGTGCCGCCGCCGCCGACGCCCAAGCCGCCGCCGAACGCGTTGCTCCCGGCGCTGAAGCGCGGCCCCGTGCCCGACGGCGTCTACGCGCTGCCGGGCCTCGACGTTGGGCCCGACCTCGCCTTCGGACCGAACCACATGCTCGGCTTCTTCCGCGACACCAAGTGCAGCGAGATGTGCCCCGCCGGCGTCTTCGCGCCCGAAGCATGTCGACCCCGTCGCTCTCGGTAGGTGCCTGCGCGCGACGTACTACAACAGCTCGAAGATGAACTGCGATGCTCCGGGCGTCGTGAACTTCGTCGATTCGCCGATTTGGAGTATCCCGGACATCCCCTTCGACCAGTATCTCGACGAGACGAGCCAGATCTACTGCAAGGACGACCGCGTCGCGTGGGTGCGGAGCAACGAAGGGATCCAGTGCCTCGGCGCGCCCGCCGGCGACGGGACGATCGCGTCGTGCTCCGCGTGCCCCTGGCTCGCCGTCGGCTGGATCCCCGAGCCGGAGGCGCCGGGCTGCGGCGCGTCCGGGCCCTGCAAGGCCGGCGCGAGCTGCTGCCGCGACCCGACGGCGCCCGCGTCGTCGCCGCTCTGCGTCTCGGAGCCGGAGTGCCCGGTGGTCTACTCGCAGTGCTGCGCGACGGCGGGCTGCCCGATGCCCTTCGAGCGCGAGTGCGGCGCCAACGCGACGCGCGTCGTCTAGAGGAGGATGTAAGCACGATCCCGCTCCTAAACTCCCTGCGACGCGGATCTCGAGGACGCTGGCTCTTCTAGATCTCAAGGTAAACACAACCGCACTGTGTCGACGACCCAAAAAGTCCCCGCGACGTCAAGTTACGTGGGGAGCGCCGCGACGGCGGCGGGCGCGGCCGCGGCCGCGGCCGCGTTCGCGACGCGCGCCGCGGCGGCCGCGGCCGCGACGAGCTCGTCCCGGTGGTCGGCGAGGACGAGGAGGAGCGCCGGGATCGACGCGAGCAGAGCGCTCGCGAGGTCCGGCCCCGCGGCCCGCGGCGGCGGCGCCTCGGGCGGCGGCGGCGCGGCGCCGAAGACCGCGTGGCGCGCGCGGCGCCCCGCGTCGACGGCGAGCTTCGAGACGCGGCGGAGCGGGCTCAGGGAGACCTGGGGCGCGGCGGGCCGGTCGTAGAGCGGCGTGCCGACGCCCGTGCGCCGGGTCTCGACGTAGTTGGACCGGTAGTGGGGCGCGTCCGGCTTCGGCGGCGCGACGAGCGCCACGGTCTGCTGCGCCAGCGACCGCAACTTGCCACCGAGCTGGAAGCGGCGGTCGACCTCCGTCGCCGCGTCGGCGACGGCGGACCCCACGGACGCGGCGACGGCCGCCGTCTGCTGCTGCAGCGCGACGGGGTCGAAGCGGACGATCTCGCCCGCGACGCCCTCGAGCGCGGGGCCGTAGCGGCGGCTCAGCGACGCGCCCGCGCTCTTGGCCCAGAAGCCGCAGCGCGCGCCGAGGCCCAGCACGGCGGCGGCGCAGGCCCGCGCCCAGAGCACGCCGAGCCGGCGCGCGAGGTCGCCGCCCGCGAGCGACCCCCAGTCGTCGTCGTCGAGCCAGCCGCCGGCGCCCGGCGGCGGCGCCGGCTGCGTGAGCACGAGCAGCGCGCCGCCGACGGCGCCCGCGAGGCCGCCGAGCGTCGCCAGGCTGCTCAGCGCGCACCAGCCCACGACCGCGCCGCAGAGGCCGCAGCCGAAGAACGCCGACGTCGCGAGCGTCGTCGCCGTCCGGTTCGCGAGCGTCGACGCGATCTCGAAGTCGACGGGCCGCGGCGCCGCGCGCGACCGCGCCGGCGGACCGTCGTCGAGCAGGAAGGCGCTCTCGAGGGCCGACGCCGCGCCCTCGTTCTCGCTCAGGGCCTGGTCCGCCCAGGACCGCGGCGGCGCGGGCATCTCGATGGGGAGCGACGCCGCACCGCGGGGCGTCTTCGGGAGCGCGGTTCGGTGCGCGGCGCGGAGCGCCGACGCGAACGGGGTCTGCGCGAGGAGGGCGAAGCCGCAGAGGGCCCGTCGCGGCGTCATCCTGGACGTCCTTCTTCCGTGGTCCATCGTTGATTTCGGAACGTCCGTCACTACTTGAACCGTTGAAATGGGATAAAAACGGGTGTCCGGGCCAACGCGTCCGAGGCCTGGACTGCCACTTCGGGCCAGCGCCGAAAGAAGCCCAGTGGCTAGACGTGACAAAGACAAGCGTTCGATTTGGCACGAATGGTCGGCAGTTGCGCCGACTTCGGTGACAAAACCCCCGGCCGCTGGGCCCATGGGGCCGATTTGCGGCAGACGAGCTCGACAACCTCGTCGGCGCCGCCTTAGGCGCACGGCGTCCAGAGCCGCGCACCGCGCCAGCCATGGCACGCGCCTACCTCGCGGTGGACGTCGAGCTCGCGTCGGCGTTCCTGGCGGCCCAGGAGGACAAGGGCCTGCGCTGGCTCAAGGCCAAGGTCGAGGGCGAGGCCGTGCGCCTCGTGTCGTCCGGGCGCATGGGCGCCTCCATCGGCGCCGACTTCGACGCGCTGCAGGCCGACGCGAGCCTGGCCATCGACGAGCCGGCCTTCGTGCTCTTCAGCCGCGACGCCGAGGCGCTCGCGGCCGGCGCGGCGCGGTCGTGGCAGCTCGTGTGCTGGGTGCCCGACTCCGCGGCGCCGCGGCTGAAGATGATCTACAGCAGCTCGCGCGAGGACCTGAAGGGCAGCCTGGGCGGTGGCTTCTTCAGCAGCTTCAAGGACTACTGCGCCAACGACGGCGGCGACATGGCCTGGTCGCACGTGGCCGGCGCCGAGGCGGGCGGCGCGCCCGCGCCGCTCACGGACAAGGAGCTCTTCCTGAAGGAGGAGCAGAAGCTGGAGAAGGACACGCGGAGCAGCGTCGGCATGGCGTCCGTGCCCTTCCGCCTCGCCGACGACCTCGAGGCGGCGCTGCGGGCCTTCGTCGCGGGCGAGGCGGACTTCGTCGAGGCCGTCGTCGGCGACTGCGAGACGCTCAAGCTCGCGGCGCCGCACCAGACGCTCGGCGGCGCGGGCGACCTCAAGGACGCGCTCAGCGCCCTCGACGCGCCGCGCTTCCTGCTCGTGGCCAAGCCCAAGCCCGGCGGCGGCGCGGCGAAGCTCTTCGTCTACTACTGCCCCGAGTCCGCGCCCGTCAAGGCGAAGATGACCTACTCGACGGCCAAGGCGACCTTCGCCGACATCCTCGCGGGGCCCCTCGGCGTCGACCCGGAGAAGACCCTCGAGGTCCGCGACGCCGGCGACCTCCAGGCGGACGTCGACGCGGTCGTCGCGCCGCCGGCCGACGACCGCGCGATCAAGCACGCGGCCAACTCCAAGCCCAAGGGGCCCGGCCGCCGCTCGACGACGCGCGGCTCCGCGAAACTGAAGAAGTGGACGCCCGAGGGCTGACGCGTGTCGTTCTCGGCTAACACCACCTCTCGATGCCGAGGATGCCGGGCGCGCCGGCGTCAAAAGAGCCGGAAGCGAGCCCATTCAAACTCGACCATCACCAGGCCTCGTCGCGCCTTCGACGCCGTCAACGCGACCCGGGCGCCCCGTCGATTTGAAAGTCGTCGACGCTGTAAAAGCTCCTCCCATATGTCCACGCCGATGGACGTCGACGCGTCCCCCGGGACGATGGACGCGCGGCGCGAGCGCCAGGCGCTCCAGGCGCAGCGCCAGGAGGAGGAGCGCAAGCGCCTCGCGGCGGAGCGGTCGAAGAGCGACAAGGAGCTGAGCGCGCGCAAGGCGAAGAAGGTCGCCGAGTTCGAGCAGGCCGTCGAGGCGGCCAAGGGCGAGGTCGAGGCCGCGGCGACGCGGCGCGCGGCGGCCAAGGCGGAGCTCCGGCGCGTGAACGCCGCGCGGAGCAAGCTCGAGGCGGAGCTCAAGCGCGCGCTCGAGCGCGAGGGCAAGTCGCCCGCCGACGCCGCCGCCGCGGCGGCGGCGCCGGCGGCGGCGCTGGCGCCCCTCGCGCTCCCGGCCGCCGGCGGCCGCCTGCCGCTCGCACCGGAGCTCATGGCGCCGGCGCTCCTCGTCTGGGACGCGGCGCAGACCTTCCACAAGCAGCTGAAGCTGGCCTGCTTCTCCTTCGACGACTTCGCCTTCGCTGTCGCCTCCGAGTCCGTCGACTCCGTGCTGCTCATCGAGACCGTGCGGTCGATGCTCCGCCTCATCCTCGCCGAGGGCGCGATCGCCATCGAGGACGAGGACAAGATGGAGCGGAGCGACGACGAGGAGGAGGAGGAGGAGGAGTCGGAGGAGGAGTCCGAGGAGGGCGACGACGACGAGGAGGAGGAGTCCGAGGAGGACGACGACGACGAGTCGGAGGAGGACGAGGGCACGCCGCTGCCCAAGCACCGCGTGTCGCGGAAGCCGCGGCGCCTCGGCGTGTCGCCGACGCCGCGGTCGACGCGGAAGCGCCAGTCCATGGAGTACGCCGACAAGGTGACGCCGCGGAACTGGGAGTCGATGCTCCGCCGGTGCCTCCGGGGCCTGTCGGCGGCCGCCGCGGGCCGGAAGGAGGGCTGGGTCAAGGCCTGCGGCCTGGCCCTCGAGGCGCGCAAGCGCATGGCCGGCGAGAACGGCGCGCCCTTCCGGGCCCTGCCGCTGGCCCACAAGGTCGGCGCGCTCTGCGCGCTCGCGCTCGGGGTCTACGGCACGCACTGCGTGTCGTGCGAGTGCGCGGCGCGCAAGGAGGCCCAGGAGGACTGGGTCCGCGACGCCAAGGAGCGCGAGAAGGACCTGAAGGCGGACAAGAAGGAGGAGCAGGACGCCTTCAAGGAGGAGGCCATCGAGATGCTCCGCGCGGAGAAGACGCGCAAGTTCGAGGAGACGCGGGCCCGGGAGGCCGCCGAGGAGCCCCCGGCGAAGAAGGCCAAGGGCGACGGCGACGACGACGAGTCCGCGGCCAAGGCGCCGGCGAAGAAGGCCAAGGAGCCGAGCTTCAACGAGATCGCGCGCCGCGTCGAGCAGCTCCGCGCGGCCGAGGTCGTCGAGCACCGCGTCGTCCTCGACGCGCCGCCCGCGGACGACGCGCTGTCCGACGACGAGGCCGAGGCGGACCCCGACGAGGCCGACCTGAGCCTCATCGAGCGCAACAAGCGCCGCAAGGCCCTCGGGGCCGCGCGCGAGCGCAACGCGGCGAAGCGCGACGAGCGCGCGCGCCGCGCGCGCCGCGACGAGGACCGCGCCGAGGTCAACGAAATGATCCGGGCCGCGCTGGCCGACGACGACGACGCGGGCCTCAAGGCCGCGCTCAAGGCCGCCAAGGGCGCGGAGCTCCTCGGCGCCGACGGCGCGGGCGACGACGGCGACGAGCCCTGGTGCACGAAGCTCGTCGCCGACGCGATGCGCCGGAGCCACGCCGCCAAGCAGAAGCGCGACGACGACCGGGAGCGGCTCAAGCACGCCGCGGGCCTCGCGAGCCACGACGTCCGCCGCGAGCCCCTCGGCGTCGACCGGGACGGCCGCCGCTACTGGCAGATCGACGCGGGCGAGAAGACCGCCGGCGGCGACCGCGACGACCGCCTCTTCCGCGTCCTCGTCCAGGAGCTCGCGGGGCCCGCCGCGGCCGCACCGGGCGCCGCCGCGCCGCCGCGGGACCTCGCCGAGACGTCCCTGTGGTCGTGCTACTCGTCCTGGAAGGAGCTCAAGCTCCTCTACCGCGCGCTGAGCGACGCCGTGCCCTGCGAGCGGTCGCTGCGCGCGGCCCTCGCGGCGCAGTACAACGCCGCGGAGCCCCTCGACGCCAAGTTCGACGAGGACTGGCACGTCGAGGGCCACGCCGCGCTCCGGTCGCTCGTGCAGCGCAAGTTCGGCCGCAAGCTCGCCGAGGGCGTCGTCACGGGCTGGCTCAGCGCGGAGCACAACGAGGGCCTCGCGCTCTGGCACGTGGAGCACGGCGACGGCGACGAGGAGGACCTCGAGGAGGACGAGCTCGAGGCCGCGCTCGCGGACCACGCGTCGGGCTTCCGCAAGTACACGAACACGTCGCGCGCCCGCAACGACGCGAAGCGCGTCAAGGAGGAGCAGCACGCGGGCGTCATCGGCGTCGTCGTCCGCAAGGAGCTCAACGTCATGGGCTACGACGACGCGCTCGTCGACGAGCTCTTCTACTGAGAAGGGGGGCGCGCGCGCGGCCGTCATAAGGGCGGCTCCGTCGACCTTAGCGCGCGCGGCGGCCCCGCTCTTCCACCTCGTCGATTGCGCGCGCCGCGAGGCGCCGCGCGCGAGTCGCGTCGACGAGCCCCGCGGCCGCCGCGCGCGTCCAGAACAGGAAGGCCGCGTGGGCGTAGAGCACCTCGTCGGCGGCCTCGGAGCGCCGCGCGTCCCAGGCGCCCGTCGACTCGAGCGCGGCGAACTGCGCGGCGGGGTCGCCGGAGCTGCGGACCTTGAGGAGCTCGGCCGGCGCGACGGCCGCGTCGCCGCGGACGGCCGCGTGGGCGAGGGCCGCGCTCAGGTCCCAGTGCTCCGTGAGCCCGACCATGAGGAAGCCCGCCTCGAGCTCGCCGACGGCGGCCGCGACCTGCGCGGGCGACAGCGCCGGCGCGTAGGCGTAGCACTCGAGGCCCAGGACCATCTTCGTCGCGCAGTTGCGGACGCAGGCGCCCCGGGCGCAGAACGACGCGTACGCGGCGACGCGCCGCGCCTCCTGCGTCTCCCGCGCGACGGCCTTGAGCAGGGCCGGGCGCGCCGTGCAGCCCGCCGTCGGCCAGCAGTGGAGCCGGTCCCGGTAGCCGCTGACGACGCGCGCCGCCGGGCTCCGGAAGAGGCCCACGGCCCGGCCGCGGTGGAGCGTCGCGTTGTAGGGCAGGTGGCGGCCGCCGCCGTTGCACTCCGCGCGCTTCGCGTCCATGAAGCCGTTGAGCCAGGCGACGTCGCAGGACGACTGGCGGACGTCGCCGAGGCCGCTCCACCGGCACTGGCCCTGCTGCGGGCCGAGGTGGTCGCGCCGGTCGGGGCCGTAGTCCGCGACGCAGCCGAACTTGGCGCCCGGCGGCAGCGCCGGGCAGCAGAGCCGGCAGGCCACGTTGACGAAGCCGCTGCCGCACTTCGGAATGTGAAGCCAGAAGAGGTCGCGCGTCGCGGGCGTCGCGTTCGTCGACGGCCCCAGGACCCGCGGCGGCGTCGCGGCGGGCTGCGTCGTGTGTATGGCGCCGGCGGCGGCGCCGCGGCGCAGCAGCGCGATGGCGGCGACGGCGCAGGCCGCGGCGACGGCGCCGGCGACGCGGGCGGCGGGTTTGCGGGCTGGTGGTGCAGCCGCGGCAGCAGCCTCCATCATAATCGTATGTGCACTGTCGACATATTGAATTCAAGATCCTTTCTGGGCATTGCATTTCGATTGATTCCGACGTCGGTGTCGTCGCACGGTTCGTTCGCCCATCGAGATGGCCACGGTGCGCGCGGCGCTGCTCGGGCTCCTCTGCGCCGCCGCCGCGGCGCCGTCCGCCGCGGCGGACTGCGAGGACAGCACGTCATGGTTTTACAAGAAGACGAGCGCGCGCCCGGCGTCCTCCTCGCAGCCCCGAATAGACGTCCCCTCCCCCGCGCCGCAGAGCGCGACTGCGGCTGGGTCGGCAAGGAACTCGACCGCTGCGGGTCGGAGAAGATCAAGGACGAGGACGGCTTTGTCCCCGCCGAGAGCTGCCCGTTGACGTGCGAGACGTGCCCCACGTGCGAGGACAGCACGTCGTGGCGCGCGGCCGGCGCCCCCCTCGGGAACTCCCCAGGACGCGCCCCCGACCAACTCCCGGCAGGTACGTGAAGAAGCCGAAGAACGACTGCGAGCGGTACATCGCCAAGAAGGCCAAGAACTGCAAGCAGACGGACGACTACGGCGTCTCCGGGTACGAGGCGTGCCCGGTGATGTGCGAGGAGTGCGAGGCCGGGGACGAGTACGAGGACGAGTCCGAGGACTACGTCGAGTGCGAGGAGTGCGACTGCGGCGACGCGACGGACGGCGGCTGCGACGAGTACGCGGAGCAGATCGATGAGCTCACGGCCGATGTCGAGGCGCGGGACGAGAGGATCTCGGACCTGACCAAGGAGCTCGAGGAGAACGCGGAGTACATCGAGGACCTCGAGGACGAGGTCGACGAATACAAGGAGGAGATCGAGGACCTCGAGGAGGACTACGGCGAGCTCGAGGAGTCCTACGGCGAGCTCGCCGGCGAGCTCGAGGAGGTCAACGACCTCGTCGGGGAGCTCGAGAGCTACATCGAGATGCTCGAGAGCCGCCTCGATCTCGCCTACGTGGGCTGCGCGGGCTCCTACAGCTACGACTTCTCCTACTCCTACTCCTACGACATGTGGGAGGACTACGACGAGGAGTACGACGAGTGGGAGGACTACGACGAGAGCGAAGACGAGGGAGACGACTACGAGGGAGACTACGGGCCCTATGGGAACGAAGGCTACGACGAGAACGAAGACTACGACGAAAAGGAGTACGACGACGAGAAGGGCGACGAAAAGGAGTACGACGACGAGAAGAGCGACGAGTGGGAGTACGACGACGAGAAGGGCGACGAGTGGGAGTACGACGACGAGAAGGGCGACGAGTACGGTGACTACTCACCCTAATCGAGACCACCACCCCTACCAACCAAGACCCTGCCCCCGAAATCCCCCTCCGAATCACCCTCGCCCGTCTTGCTAATTTCGCTTCCCCCACCCCGAATTCCCCCGAACCCTCCGAACCACCCTCGCCCGATGTGCGAATGTCGCTTCCCCTGGGTCACGACGGGCGGCCGCCGATCCAGGCGACGGCGAGGAGCTCGGCGCAGGTCGCGAGGTCCGCGAGGCCCACGACGACCGGGCCGCCGTGGGCGAGATGGCGCAGCCCCGCGAGCCCGAGGAACGCGGCCCACGCCGAGGCCGCGAGGCTCGCCTCGACGGAATTCGCGTCCGGGAAGAGGGCCACGGCGACGCCGAGGCAGAGGGACAGCGTCGCGAGCTCGAGCTGGAACATGCGCGACGAGGCGCTCTGGGGCCCGTCGCCGCCCGCGACGCGGTCGCCCAGGTAGACGTGGCCCGCGAAGCACGCGCAGGCCATGCTCGTCACCAGCACTCCGTAGACCCAGGACCGCGCGCCGGCCCGCAGCGCCAGGTGCCAGCTGCCGTGGGCCGCGAGGAACGTCGCGACGATGACGAGCCCCGCGATCGGGTAGACCACCAAGAACTTCGCCCCGAGCAGCCGCGGCGCGGGGCCGGCCGGCGCGACCGCGGCGGTCGTGCTGCCGTCCGTCGCTTCCGTCGTTTCTTTATGATGCACTGGATTGCCTTGCTCCGTGTCCGTTATCGGGGCGCTCGCGGGCGGCTCGCTCTTGTGCAGGTTCCTTTCCATGTCCATCGTCGAGATGCGGTGCAGATGGTGTACTCGGCCGCAAGGATGCGAGCATCGGGCTGCCCAGATGGGCTGCCCCAAATGGGTTGGACCAGACCGTGCACATCATGTTGCTGTAGCAGAGCAGGCGCGACTGCGTGAGTGGGCAGCCCATGGGCAAGAGCACAAAGCCGCGCGGCGCCGCACCGCCGCCGCTGCCGTTCGCCGACGCGCTGGAGGCCGGCGACGCCGAGGCCCTCGGCGCGCTGCTGCTGGCGGCGCTCCGCGCGCGCAACCCTGCGGTCACGGCCGTCGCGGACGTGCGCATCGCGCAGCAGCGCGGCGAGGCCTTCACCGGCGGCCGGTCGACGCCGGTCTACGACGTCGCCGCGACCCTGACGGTCCGCGGGACGACGAAACGCCGCGCGTTCGTCGCCAAGGTCGTGCGCCACGGCGGCGGCTCGGAGCGCGACGCGTTCCGCCGCGCGTCCTACGCGAACGAGCGCGCGTTCTACGCGGCGCCGGACGCGCTCCGGGGCCGCGTCGCGACGCCGACGGCCATCGCGGCCGAGGGCGACGACGAGCGGACGTGCCTCGTCCTCACGGACCTCCGCGAAGGGAGCGCCGCGTTCCCGGACCACCCCGAGCTGCTCCGCGGCGGCGCGCTCGCCGCCGCGGTCCGCGCGCTCGCGCGCTTCCACGCGGCGTTCTACGCGAAGTCGCCCGCGGCCGTCGAGGCGCGGAGCAAGCTGTTTCCGCGGGGCACGTTCTGGCGCCTCGACGCGCCCGGCGCCCGGCCCTTCAGGCCTACGGCCTGGCCGGCCGCGCTGCGCTGGCTCGAGGCCCGCGACGGCGGCGCGGGCGGCCCGCTGCGCCTACTCGCGGCGCGCCTCGGCCGCGCGGCGCCGGCGATCGACGCGGCGCTGCGGGCCGCGGCGCCCGCGCACGGCACGGTCGTCCACGGCGACTGGAAGGCCGCGAACCTCTTCTTTTCGGACGCGTCGGTGGCCTGCGTCGACTTCCAGTACGCGGGGGGCGGCCTCGGCGCGCAGGACCTCGCCTACGTTCTCTTCCCCGACGCGCGCGGCGACTTCTTGGGCGACGGCGAAGAAGGGGTGGTGGAAGCGTACTTCGACGCGTTCACCGAGGCGCTGGCGGCGAGCGCGGGCGGCTCCTACGCGTCCTACAAGCGGCCGCTCTTCCGCCGGCACTACGAGCTCGCGCGGCTCGACTTTTTTCGCTACATGCTCGGAAACGGCTGGGCGCCGGCGACGGACGCGGACGACCGCGCGGTCCGGGCCGCCGAGGCCGCGCTCGGCGCCATCGACGGCATCGTCGAGAACGACGCGGGGCTCAGCGTCCACGTCGTGGACCGGCAGGACTACGGGGCGCTCGTGCGGGACTGGGTAAGTGGGGCTTAATTAGCAGCGCGGGACGTCGAGGCCTACGTCGTCGCAATAGGTCGGCGGTAACGGCTCGTTGCACAGATGTTGCACGTTGACGAAGGGCTGTTGGTCTTTGGTCACGAGGTCGACGACGAGCTGCGCGTCGACACTATGGTGCTCACGCGCGACCTAACGAACGCGCCGCCGCCCCCGCCGCCGCCGACGGACGCCAAGTCGCCCGGGCGCCTCGCCACGCTGATGGGTCCCGCGAGCCCGAGCTCCGCGGAGCGGGCGGAGAAGCCGACGGACCTCATGATGACGATGAGCTTCTCGCCGCCGCGCCACGGCGCGAAGCTGGACAAGAAGGTGCCCGTCGTGCGGCGCGTCGAGTTCGCCGAGGCGGTGAAGAAGCCCGCCGAGGCGAAGCCCCCGGCCGCGGCGCCGCCGGCGTCGCCCGAGGCCGTCATCGACCTCGACGCCGCGCGGTCCGAGGCGGAGCGCCTCGAGCGCCTGGCCGAGTCGGCGAAGAAGGCGTCGCTCTGCGAGTCGCCCGCGCCCTGGCGGCTCCAGCCGAAGCGCGACGCGCTGACGCCGCGCGACGCCGAGAGCCGCGAGTCGAAGCGGCACGTCGCGGCGCTCCGGCTGCAGACGCTGCTGCACCACCGCCGCGCGGAGAAGGCGCGCGCGAAGACCGTGCTCCTCGAGAAGCTCCAGGCCGCGCGGTCGCGGTTCGAGGCGGCGTCGCCCCATCTCTCCGCGACCCCCGCCCGACCCGCTCGACCCCTCCGCAGGCCCGAGGACGGCGCGGCGGCCGTCGCGGCGCTGTCCGACGCGCGGCGCGCGCTCGCGGAGGCGAACAAGCGCGCGGACGTCGCCGAGGCCGACGCGTCCGCGGACCGGCGGCGCGCGGCGGCCGCGGAGGCGCGCGCGGGCGCGCTCGAGAAGGCCGCGGCGGCCGCGCCGCCGGGCACGCCCGCGGCCGCGCGCAAGTCGAAGCAGGCCAGGCTCGAGGAGGCCGCCGCGGCGGCGGCGCGGGAGCGCGACGCGGCCGCCGCCGAGGCGGCGGCGCTGCGGCGCGAGGCCGCGGACGCGGACGCGCTGCGGCGCGAGCTCGCCGACGCGCGCGAGGCCGCGGCCGCGGCGCGGCGCGAGGCCGCGGCGGCGGCGGAGGTGCGCGAGACGTTCCTCGCCGCGGAGCGCGCGCGCGCGGACGCCGCCGAGGCCCAGGTCGAGGGCGCGGAGCGCGCGGCGGCGCGCGCCAAGGCCGAGACGGCGTCGATGGTCGAGACGACGGAGGCCGCGGAGGGCCGCGTGCGCCGCGCCGAGGCCGCCGAGGCCGCGGCCCGGGGCGAGCTCGCCAAGGCCGCCGCGTCCTTCGACGGCGACCGCAAGCTCTGGGACGGCGTCCGCCGCCGGCTCCACAACCGCGTCGTCGAGCTCCAGGGCAACATCCGCGTCTTCGTGCGCGTGCGGCCGGCGCTCGCCGTCGGCGCCAACGGCTCGGGCACGACGGCCGGGGGCCTCACCTGCCCCGCGGCGCCCGCGGGGTCGTCCGCGGACGCCGTCGAGGTCGCGGAGCTGGTCGCGCCCGGCGGGCCGCCGCGGAAGGCGCGGACGTTCAAGTTCGCCTACGACCGCGTCCTCGACGGCGCCGCGGACCAGGTCGCCGTCTTCAGGGAGGTGCGGCCCTTCGTCCAGTCGGCGCTCGACGGCTACAAGGTCTGCGTCTTCGCCTACGGCCAGACGGGCAGCGGCAAGACGCACACGATGCTCGGCGGCGGCGGGCCCGCGACGTCCGCGGCGCCGGGGGCCGACGCGGGCCTGCTCCAGCGGAGCCTGCATTTGGTCTTCGACGGCGTCGAGCAGCTCAAGGCGGCGCAGGGCTGGACCTTCGAGCTCTCCGTCGAGATGCTCGAGATCTACCTCGACAAGGTCTACGACCTCCTCGGCGACGGCGGCGAGCCGCAGCCGCGCGCCGTGCGCGACACGGGCGAGGCCATCGCCGTCGACGGCCTGAAACGCGTCGCCGTGTCCTGCGCGGAGGAGGCGGACCTCGTGCTCGCGGCCGCGCGGAAGCGGCGCCACACGTCCGCGACGAAGAGCAACGACCACAGCTCGCGGAGCCACTGCCTCTTCGCGCTCCACGTCCACGGCGCGTCCGGCGACGGCCGCGAGGTGCGCCGCGGCTGCCTGAACCTCGTGGACCTCGCGGGCTCCGAGCGCCTCGCGGCGTCGGGCTCGAACGACGACCCGAAGCTCCTCAAGGAGGCCCAGTTCATCAACTCGAGCCTCGCGGCCCTCGGCAACACGATCTCCGCGCTCACGAGCGGCGATCGCGCCCACGTGCCCTTCCGCGACTCCAAGCTCACGTTCCTCCTCCAGCCGTGCCTCGGCGGCGACGCCAAGACCCTCGCCATCTTCAACCTCGCGCCGGAGCTCCAGCACCACAAGGAGACGCTCTGCACGCTCCGCTTCGGCCAGAAGGTCACCAAGTGCGCGCCGAAGAACGTCTGCGCCAAGTGCGGCTCGCGCGCGGCGGCCTAGGGGCGCGCGCCCGGCGCGCGCCGCGAGCTCGACTTATACAGCGCCCCGCGCGGTTCGCTTCTCTCTCGGGGGCGGGGGCGTTCACTTCTTGGCGGCCTTCTTCTGCTTCTTCGCGCTGCTCCACGTGATCTCGCGGAGGACCTTCGCCGGCGCGTGGTCCCAGAACGCGCCGTCCTCGTAGTCGAGGTTGACGGTCGCGTCCCGGTTGACCTTGGCGATGACGGCGGGGTAGTAGACCTGGTCGTCGTCGCCCCACATGGCGTGGACCTTCATGCCCACCGCGGGCGTGAACTTGGCCTTCTTCGCCGGCGGCAGGTCCTCGGGCTCGTCGTCCGCGTCCGGCGCCGTCGGGCTCGACGGCGCGGCGTCCTTCTTCGGCCGGCCCCGCTTCGCCTTGGGCTTGCCCACCTTGGTCTTGACCTTCTTCTCGACCTTCTTCTTCTTCGGCTTCTCGTCCGACGGCGGCGCCTCCGCGGGCGCCTCGGCCGGCGCGTCCGCGGCGTCGAGGTCGTAGGCGTCGCCGGCGTCGTGCTCCAGGGCCTTCGTCGCCGGCTCGCGCTCGAGGTTGCTCCGCAGCGCGTCGATGCCGTACGCGTCGAGGCCCGCCTCCTCCTCGGCGACCGTGTCGTCGTCGCCGCGCGCCGCGTCCGCGTCGTCGGCCGCCGGCGCCTCGGCCTCGTCGTCGTCGTCGGCGGGCGTCATGGGGAACTCGTAGGTCGCCTCCTCGGGAGCGGGCGCCGCGGGCTTCTCGCCGACGGGCGCGGCGTCCGAATCGAGGCTGTCCTGCGTCGTCTGTTGCGTAAACGCGCCGACGCCCTCGAGGGCCAAGGGCTCGGCGGCGTCCTGGGACGTCGGGACTTTCGTCCCGGAGGCCTTGGACGCCTTGGAGCCGGAGCTCGACGGCGTCGTCACCTGGCTCTGCGTCGTGATGTGCTTCTCCGTCTGCACTCGCAACGCGCCGAGGAGCTCCGCGCGCGTGTAGGTGTCGGCCATCACGCGGCACTTGTTCATGTCGAGCGTGCCCGTGCGCTCGAGGGCGGGGGGGGAGTCGCACCCGCCGTCGTCGCCGCTCACGGGCGTCGAGCTGTACATCTCCATTTCGATCCGGCGGAGGGTCGTCGGCGTGTGAAGCGTCGTTTGTCGTTTGTCGAGGCTCCTCGTCTCGTCGCAGGCACGGCACGAGCGGGGCTTCGGGGGACGATTCGGGCGTGCGGGCGTCGAGACGTCGAGACGCGCGAGGATGCTCTCCAGCTAGTTCGCGCCCTCACTCCTGCCGGCTCTAAGATATTTTTGAACTGTTACTCCGTCGACGCCTCCCCAAACAGCACTCCACGACGCCTAACCACCACCCCGCCACCTCTCCCCCCTCCTTCACGCGGCCGTCGTCCCCTTGGGCAGGCTCGTCTCGTGGTCCTTGGCGGACTGGATCGCCTCGGGCGAGCCCGGCTTGAGGTAGTACCAGAGCGTCACGGCGAAGCGCTTCCGGTGCGTCGGGAGGACCTCGTGCATGATCGTCCGCGCTTTGAAGACGCAGAGCTGGCCCGCCATCGGGTCGAGCGTGTGCTTTTTCGCTTTCTCGCCCGCGACGTCCGGGTCGCCGTCGCCGATGTTCCACCAGACGAGCTGGCCGCCGTCGCGCGACGGGTCCGCGTCCCAGTCGTCGGCGACGAGGTAGACGATGGCCGTCACGCGGCGCGGGTCCGTCGTCGCCGAGTCCATGTGGGGCTTATAGAAGGCGCCCTGGCCGTCGTAGCAGGCGAGCATGATCTGCGGCGGCACCGCGAGCGGCTCGTCGTAGCCCCCGGCCTCCAACTCGTGCGCCAGGGACTTGAGGTACCAGACGAGGCGCGCGAGGGCCGACGCCGTCGCCGGCGGCGGCCCGCCGTCGCCGGCGTGGGCGTGGCCCGGCGCGCAGAACTGGTCCAGGACCGCCGATTTCTCATCCAGCGCCATCATGCGGTCGCGGCGGTCGCCGAGCGCGCGGTGCATCGTCGGCGGCGCGAGCTTGCCCGCGCGGTCGAGGGCGTCGGCCTCGGCGCGGCACCGGGCGATAAAGTCCTTCGGGAGCGCACCGTCGTAGAAGACGAGGTGGTCCCGGTTGAGGTCCCGGACCTCTTTGCGGCCGAGGCGCCGCTCGGTCGCGTCGACGGCGAACGTCCGGCCGAACTTCGCCAGGTCGAAGTCGGCGGGCCGGAGCACGGCGGCCATGGCGCGCTGCTGGGCCCAGAGCACGACGTCGCGGTGGCAGGCGCCGAGGATCATCTGCGTGAAGAAGCCCGACTGGCGGAGCGACCGCGCGCGCTTCTGCGCTTCCCACGCGCGCCGCGCGTCGTCGCCGCCGTTCCTCTCGAGGCGCTCCATGCCCGCCAGCGTCTTCGTCGCCTCGTCCTCCCAGCCGTCGAAGAGGGGCCGCAGCTGGCGCCACTTGAGGCCGCCGAGGCTCTGCGCGACGGCCGCGCGCGCCTGCAGGAACATGTCGAGCGCCTCGAGCTCGCGGTCGTCGCGGCCCCGGCGCCCGTGGTCGTGGCCCGGCTCCGGCGCCTCGAACTGGACGTGGCCCGCGGGGCAGACCTCGTGGGCCCAGCCGTCGGGCTCCGCGAAGCGCGTCCACGCGCCCGCGTCCGGATCGCCGCAGCTCCACGCGTACTCGCGCTGGAGCGCGACGCCGACGGCGGGCGAATTCCGGTCCGGCCGCTCGTAGAAGATGACGGCGGGCCGCAGGGCGACCCAGCGCCGGAGCGCGCCGGAGCAGCCGGGGGGCACGGGCGCGTCGGGCACGACGGGCGGCCGCACGAGCAGCTGCATGAGCGCGGCCTTGGGGTCCGCGGGCGGCGGCGCGGCCGCCGCCGCCGGCGGGGGCGCCGCGCCGGGCGCCACGAGGAGCGCGCCGAGGCCGAGGCGCGACCCGTCGACGAGCATGAACCCGGGGCCGTCCGCGAGCGCGACCCACCCCGCGGCCTCGTCGCGGACGCGGACGCGCTCGCCGAAGAACTTGCAGCCGAGGGACTTGGACGTGTGGTCCCGCTGTTCGCGCACGAAGACGTAGGGCCGGTGCGCGACCTCGAGCTCGAAGGCGGGGGGTTCCGGCGCGGGCTTCGGCGCGGCGGGCTTCGGCGCCGGTTTCGCGGGCGCTGGCGCGGGTGCGGGCACCGGCTTCGCCGGCGCGGGTGCGGGCACTGGCTTCGGCGCCGCCGCTGGCTTTGGCGCGGGCGGCGGTTTGGTAGGTACTGGCTTCGGCGCGGGCGCCGGCTTCGGTGGGGCCGCCGGCTCCGCGCGGGGCTCGCCGAGCGCGAGCTCGAGCACGTCGCCCTCGCCGAAGCCGAGGACCGCCGGCGTCGCGTCGAGGTCCAGCGCGGCGCCCGCGCGCCGCATCTCCACGCGGTCCCGGTCGATGGCGAAGCCCTTCGTCGCCGCGTGCTTGCAATAGGCCTGGACGACGGTCCGCCGCACGGGCTTCGCCAGCTTGCTGCCGCTGAGGCGCATGCGCACCGTCATGCCGCGACCGCACGGGCCGACGCCGCGCACGATGACGCTGTAGTCTTCCGGCATGTTGCTAGGCGCCTCTTCCCTCAGCCATCAGCACGCCTAAACAATTGTTGAAGTAGCCAGTACGTTCAATATTAGCCCTCTCCGTGGCTGCCCGCGGCCGATCTCGCAGCTTAGCGCGCTTGCCCGCGTCGTCACCTCGCGCGCTGCCGTCTCGACTGGTCCAAACGCAGCGCGTGCTGCGCAGTGGTAGCACATAAACATGGGCGGCGGCTCGAGCTCGGCCAAGTACGCCGCCGCGGAGCCCGGGCCCGGCGGCGTCGTCGGCGCCGTCGCCGACGACGAGCTCGCGAAGCGCTACGACCTCGTCGTCGTCGGCGGCGGACCCGCGGGCGTGGCGGGCGCGTTGAAGGGCGCCTACCTGGGCAAGCGCGTGCTGCTCGTGGACAAGCCCAAGGCGCCGCTGGACGCGCGCGGCGTCGACGTCGCGTTCGGAGGCCCGACGGGCCTCTTCAGCAAGGCGCTCCGCGACACGGCGAAGACGCTGGACATCCAGGCGCTCAAGGCGCAGGGCCTCGACGACGAGGTCGTCTGGCTCCAGGTCCAGAAGATGTGCCTGCAGCTCGCGCGGAACAACGCGGAGACGACGGTCGCGCTGCTGAAGAAGTTCCGCGTGGGCTACCAGCAGGGGACGGCGACGCTGCTCGGCGACGGCAAGGTCAGGGTCGACCGCGTCGGCGGCGCGGGCTGCGTGGACGTGGCGGGCGCCAAGCTCCTGGTGTGCTGCGGGTCCGTGCCCATGCGCGTCGGCGGCGTGCCCTTCGACGGGCGGCGCGTCTTCGACGCGGACTCGATCAACACGCTGGGCTTCCTGCCCAAGTCGGTGGTCATCGTCGGGAGCGGCATCATCGCCATCGAGTACGCCATGATCTTCCGCAAGCTCGGCGCCGCGGTGACGATGCTCGTGCGGTCGTCGATGACGTCCGCGCTCGACCGCATCGGCCTCGACCCGCGCGGACCTCGAATCTTCAAGCCGACTTCAATGGGCGCGTCATCGAACGGTTTGGACCGGACGCTTCGACTCTGCTTCGAGCACTCGACGAGAGCGATCGATTCGTCCAAGAATCAGCCGAATCGACGTCGAATCGACCGAGCTCGAGAATTTCAAAGTTTGGTCGGGACGTCCCAAACCAGCGGTTGGGTTCCACACAGGCCTCGACGGGGACCTCACGCGCATCCTCGTGCAGTCGCTCAAGGACGAGGCCGTGACGATCATGGAGGGCACGTCCGTCGACGCGTTCCTGGAGCCCAAGGCCGACGGGTCGCTGCGGATCAAGCTCAAGGGCGACGCGGGCGACCTGGAGGCAGACGCGTTCCTGGCCGCGACGGGCCGCGTGCCCAACACCGCGGCGAGCGCGGCGCTGGGCCTGGCGGAGGCGGGCGTCGCGCTGGGGAAGAAGGGCCACGTGGAGGTCGACGGGACGCTGATGACGGCCGTCGACGGCCTCTACGCGGCGGGCGACGCCGTCGCGGGCCCGGCGCTCGCGTCGACGGGCGTCGAGCAGGCGCAGCGCGCGGTGTCCCACGCCTTCGGCACGGCCGTCGAGTCCATCGACCAGTTCCCCGTGGGCGTCTGGACCATCCCGGAGGTGGGCTTCTTCGGGCTCACGCGGGCCGCGGCGGAGAAGGCGGGGCGGACCGTCAAGGAGGGCGTCGCCGGCTACGACATGTGCCTCCGCGGCCGCGTCTTCGCGCCCGACGGCCTGCTGAAGCTCGTCTTCGACGTGGAATCGCGGGAGATCCTGGGCGTCCACATCATCGGCCGCGACGCCTGCGAATTGGTGCACTACGGCATGGATTTGGTCATGAAGCGGGCGACGATCTTCGACGTCATCGGCACGCTGTTCACGGCCGTGACCTTCCACGAGCTCTTCAAGGAGGCCGCGCTCGACGGCAACTCGAAGCTCGACTTCGGCATCCAGTGGCAGGAGGTGCTCATGAGCCTGGGCACGCAGCTCCCGGCGAAGGACCTGCTCGAGTCGGGCGAGGTCAAGCGCAAGTTCGACGCTATCGACACGGACAAGAGCGGCGGGCTCGACGAGGCGGAGCTCCTCACGGTGCTCAACTCATTCGGCCAGGACGTGCCCGCGACCGTGGCGGCGAACATCATCCACCTCGCGGACGAGGACGGCAACGGCGTCATCGACATCCACGAGTTCGAGAAGATCTTCCACGTCCTCGCGGCCATGGAGGCCGCGGCGGGCAAGGACAAGAAGTAGCGGGGGGGGGGGGGTTAAAAGTCAGGCTTACTAGTAGGTCTGGTGCGGCTGATGCTTCAGCGGTCCCGGCGACTCTCCTCGGGAAGCACGATCGGAGAAGCATCTCAACGCCCGGGGCAGCAGGCAAGAAAGCCAAGAAGGCGCCGAAGGCCAAGCGTTATACACGGCGCCTCAGGCCAAAGCGCACCCGGAGGGGCGACCTAGGCGATGGCGGCCTGCGCCTCGCGCCGCGAGTCGCGGCGCGACGACGCGGCGAGTCGCCGGCGGCCTCGACCTTGGCCGCGACGCGCCGCGCCAGGCCCTGGATCTTGCGCGCGGCGGCGGCGATCGGCAGAGCTGCGGCCCGGAGCTCGTCGTCGATGGCGTCGTCACGAGCGCTCCTCCGAGACGCGAGCGCGATCGTCTGGTAATCGTCGTGAGCCAGCAGACCGCCGTAGACCCAGCCGGAACCCAACTCCTTTGGGTGTTCAGGTTCTTGAGTGGCCTTTTTCTTTTTGGCCGCGAACTCCTTGGCCGCGGCCATGGCGGCCGCGAAGCGCGACGCCGCGGCCTCGGCCTCCGCGGCGGCCGCGGCCTCGACGCGCGCGGCCTCCTCCTCGGCGGCCTCGACGCGCGCGGCCTCCTCCTCGGTGGCCTTCGTTGCTGCGGCCTCCTCCTCGGCGGCCTTCGCGGCCGCATCCTCGGCGAAGTAGGACGGCTTGAGCCCGAGGCAAAGCCCCCGGTCGTCGATTCGCAGGACCTTGACCTTCACGCGTTTGTTGACGGGGAAAAGGACGCTCAGACGTGGCTTGTCGACGCGCTCGTCAGAGATTTCAGAGATATGCGCCCAGCCCCAGCGAGCGAACGGCGGCGAGCCGTCGAGCTTCACGAAGACGCCGTCGTCACGTTCGTGAACTTTCGCGATCGTGCCGTGTTTCACGTCGCCGACGATCGCGGGCGCGGGAGTGTTCTTGGGACGGACGTCGGCGTTGGCTTGATTCGTGAAAGAGGTCTCGAGCCGGAGGGCGAGTCGCTGACCTTCGCGAATCTGCAGGACTGTGGCGCGAACGCGTTGGCCCTTCGAGAAGAGCGCTCCTGCGCCGGCCGCGAGATTCTTGTGGTGCACGAGGCCAAAGGCTTGGACGCCAGACTGTGCATCCCATGATGCGTCCAGAGTGACGAAAATGCCGCACTCCGCAATTCCAGTCACCCGGCCAGCGTAACTCTCGCCGAGGACGACGACGGGCAGGTCGCGGCGCAAGGCTCCCGTGCGGCTCGGCCGGCGGTACGAGTTGGTGCTCCCGTGGCCCATGTTGAGAGAGGATGTGCGGATCGTGTGGCTGTCGAGTGGTGTGTGTGTGTTTTGGTTCTGTAGACGGCGTTTGGCTTCATCGGCTCCCGGATTTCCGGTCCGGATGTCCACAGCGATCGGCGAGCGCGCGGTGTCGGCATTTCTCGGCGTGGGCGGTGTCGGCATTTCTCGGCGTCATGTGGCCCTCAGCAAACACAAAGCACAGCCCCAAACCGACAACAAAACACACACTACAAGCTCAGCAAGATGACGATGACCACGACCAAGCAACTCCGTATCACCGTGAACTACAACAAGTACGACGGCGGCTACTGGACGTTCACCATCGACGGCCGGTCCAGGCCCGGTGTGGATTGGGAGCAGCGGCTCGATCTGGGCATCGGCATCCTGTCACGTCGTCTCCCTCTCGACGTTACCCACGGGCCGTACGTCTCGCCCCTCGGCGACCCCGACGCGGGCAACCCGCTCGCGTGCGAACGACCCCTCAGCACGTGGATCGACGAGAACTTGATCCCGGCAATCCAGAGATCTCTTCTGTCCGAGCGCAACCGAGCCTGGGCAGGCGCCCGAATCAAGGAACCGCGGTTCGGGGGGACTCACGGCCCTCTCGCCCAAGACGTCGCTAGCCGGGGGCCTCGCCCCGACTCCGACGTCGACTTGATTCGTCGCAACTTCGTCACCAACGCGCGGCTCGTGCTCCTCGGCGATTTTGCGACGCTGAACAACATGTGCACCAGCCTGCGCAATGTGCTCGCAAGCCAAGCGGGAGCCGAATTCGAAGGAGGTCTGCTGACGCGCGCTTCAGCCGATGGCTTGAACGCCTCGGGCGCGGCGGACTTCTTCCACTTCGTCGCGGCCGTGCCCGTCAACGCACTGAGCGCTCTCGTGGAGCGGCGCGATCCCGATCTCATGCGCGATGCGCTCCGGATGTCGGACGTGGACGTCGGGGACAATCGCATTAAGCATGATAAGAAGTCGTTCGGCAAGAAGTGCGAGGTGCGCTGGCTGCGCGGCGGCGACGCGGCACTGTCCGACATCGCGACGCTCGAGAACGGCGGCGACGTGCATGTGCTTGTGTGCGGCTACGACGACTCGGAGCGCAAATCCAAGTTCGAGGTTGGTCTGCCGGGCGGCAAGCGCTTACTGGGCGAATCGGGGCTGGACTGCGCGCTCCGCGAACTGCTCGAGGAGACGCGGTTGGCCCTTCACGCCGACGGCTTGGAGGGCCCGGTCACGGAGCTGCCCCACCACGTCGTCGATGGCGCGCGCTTCGAACACTCGTTTGGCCCCTACGGCGTCGTCGCCTCGTTGCCCGACGAACACGGCGCCTATCCTACGTTCGCGGACAGGCCCGCGAATGCACCGAACCACATCGTCCGCGAAGGCCGGGTCGGTCGAGGACGCGGCGGTGGTTCTCGCATGGGCCGCGGCGGCGGTTCCGGCAAGTGGCGCCGAAACAATCCACCCCCGCGATCGGAGCACGCGGCGGCCGTCGCCACGTGCCGTTACTTCCTGCAAGGATACTGCAGCCATGGGAGTAGCTGCCGGTTCCGCCACACCAGTACGCGATCGGCCCCGCCGCCGTCGCCGAGCTCCCCGAGGTCGCCGAGCTCACCGCGCTCGCCGCGCTCGCCCCGCCGAGGACGTCTCGCGCGCGGGCCTCGCTCCGTCCGCGCAGCTGCGGAGCGTGAGTTCGATGAGGAATTCCAATCGCAACTGTCCCTCGATGCTATCGAACCCCGCCTCGAGTTGGAGTTCGATGCCGACGACAATGCGACCGCCGCCGCCACCGCGACCGCCTGATGAAAACGACCGCGCGCGCCAACTCCCTCCACGCGCCAGGCGACTCCTAAAGAAAGCCAAAGACGTTAACATGTCACCCTCGCGCATGCGCGCGAGGTTCACGCAGCGTCCTCTCGCGCCAGCGCATGCATGATCTTTATTGCTGTTTGCATACGCCAAGTGCGTTACTGGAGTGCTAAGAAGGGCGCGGCCAAGCCCCGGCCCGGGGCCATGGAATGCAAGGTTCATACGACTACAAGTAGTAGCTTTGTGAGTCGATGTGAGGGTTCACAGGAAGCTCGGGATGCACGGCGCCAAAGACGCTAGGAATGCACGGCGCGAGTACGATATTTACATAGGGCAGGAATCGGAGAGCAGGGAGCTTATCTCCCCCGGGGCGACCGTCGCGCGCGGGCTCGTCGCGATCAACGGCGTCATCTTCTTCCTAGACGCCGCCGACGACCGCGTCCCACGCGGCATTCGCGTCGACGGGGAGCGTCGGCGCATCGTCGCCTTCGTCTTCCCAGGAGTCGACCGTCTCGGACACGGAACGCGCCTGGAACGCGACTTGGGGCATCGCGTCGACCGCGAGGCCCTCGGTGACGCGCGCGACGAGCGCGTCGACGAGCGGCGCGGCGCCGGCCGCCCGCGCGGCGAGCTCATCGTAGCGCTCCCACGCCGACGTCGGCGTCGCGCCGCCGCCCGCGTGCGCGTTCCAGATGGCGAGGAGGAGCTCGCCGTCGAAGACGGCCGCCGGAAGCTCCGGGCGGTCGCCCGTCGCGCCAATCGCCAGAAGCCCCCGCACGCCCTCGAGCGCGCGGACCCAGGCCATGAGCGCCCGGAACGCGGGCTCGGCGAGCGCGCCGACGAGCGGCGGCGCCCAGCGGTCCGGCTCCCGCGCGTCGCAGCCGAGGCGGGCCTCGAGGCATCGCTGCGTCGTGGCCTCGACGATCGCGCGGATCTGCCGCGGGCCGAGCGTCGGCGGCGGCTCGACGCCGGGCATCGCCTCGCCGCCGGCCGCGAGCCAGAAGCGGAGCGTCGCGAGGGGCCAGAGCAGCGGCGCCGGCAGGTCGCCGAGGTCGGACGCGCCGAGGAGCGCGAGGACGCCGTCGCGCCTCGCGGCGTCCGAGGCCAGCAGCTGCGCGAGATCCGGCAGCGCCTCGGGGCTCGACGCCCGGCGCTCGACGAGGGCGATGGAGCCGTCGGCCTGCATGAGCCAGCAGACGCCCGCCGCGCCCGCGCCGTGGACGAGCCCGAGTTTGAGGTCGCCGAGGCGCCGCGGGAAGTGGGCGAACGCGTCAAAGTGGTCGCCAAGGTGCCGGTCGCGGAGCGGCGAGAGCATCTGATGGTACGCGTAGCGCGCCGCCACGCCGTCGCCGACGGCGTAGGGCGCGTCCGCGACGCGGAGGTCCGCGCGGCGCGGTTCGTACGCGGCGACGGCCGTCCGGACCTTGTCCGCCAAGTCCGTCCCGGCCCCGCAGACGGCGTCGAGCACCGCCGATTCGTCGTCGATGTGATACGCGTGACCGGCGACCGCGTCCGCGACGCCGCGGATGATCGCCCAGGAGAACTGGCGCTCGACGGACGCTTCGGCGCCCACGTGGCGGAGGTTCGCGACGACGTCGCGCGCGGCGCGCACGTCGGCGACCCAGCGCGTCGTCGCGCCGGTGGGTTCGCCCCTGAGCAGTACGGGTCGCGCGACCGCGTCCGCTGCGGCCGCGGCGTCGGCGACGGCGGGCCCCGGCACCTGCGCGCACCAGACCGGCACCCGGCCGGCGTCGCCTCGGTGCCGCCACCGGCAGGTGTAGGGCCGCGTGCAATAATTGGGGCCGATATTGTTGTCGTCGTTCACGTTGGCATTGCAGAAGAAACGCAAGCTCCGCGAATGATCGTAGGGGCAGTCCGTATTCTTGCATCGATGGCCCAGAAGGCACGGTCGCCGGACGTTTCCGGGCAACTCGCGCATGGCCTCGCGATGCACCGCCGGGTCGAGCGCGTGCCAGCGCTCCTGCTGCTTGAGGAGCGCGTTGTGCAACGCGTGGTCGTGGACCGTTGCGAGCTCGATGTCGTCGACGTAGTCGTTGCCGAGGAGCGTCGCGACGAGCGGCATCAGCTCGCCTCGGCCGACGCCGTCGCGGACGAGTCCGAGCGCTGCCGCCACGAGCGCGGGCGTCGTGTGCAGGAACGTGAGGCCTGCAGTCGTCCAGTCGAGATCCTTGAGGAAGATGACGCCCTGGATCGATCCGACGGCCTCGTAGCGGTAGGCCACCATGTCGGTGTCGCCCGAGAGGACCCAGCCGTGCCGCGCCGCTGCCTCGTAGGCGACGCCTGGATCGTCCTCGTCATCGCCGAAGAGCACCTCGACGCGACCCTCGGCCGCGAGATCCAAGAGCGCATCGACGACCGCCCCGTTCTTCATCGGCGCGAGCGCTTTCTTGCTGTGCGCCGCCGCCTCGTCGGCGCGCCCCGCCGCCACGAGCTCGACTGCTCGCGCCTCGTGGATGGCCTTCGACGCAAGGGTGTGAGCGGCGTGGCCGTGCTTGAGGTGGTCCGCGTGCGTGGCCGTGCGGCCGACGACGAAGACGAGCGCCGCGCCGACGCGCTCGAACCGCTCGACGAACGCGCGCGTCTCGCGCGCCATGACCGCGTACTGCCCACCGAGCAATTTCGACGCGTCGGTCTCCACCTTAGAGAGGACGTGATACGCGACCGCCGCGAAATCGCACACGACGACCCGCTCCGCTTGTTTCTCGTCCGTGTTGTACCAGTTGGAGTGCATGAACGGATCTGCGAGTTTGGGCGCATTGGAGTTGCGGCGGAGAAACGACGCCAAGTTCTTGACGCCCATGTTGAGAGAGGTTGTGTGTGTACGGAGATGTGAATGTCGAGTGTGTTTGGTTTGGCTCTGAAGAGCTCAGTTCGCGGTTTATCCGGCATCATAATTTCGCGCTTTCCCCACTTGCTTTCCCGAGGTGATCTCCACAACCTAAATAGTAGGTCCTAGTAGACTAGGCGCTGCGGCGGTCGTCCCCCGACAGGCCCTCCGGGTGGAATTCCGTGGGTTCCGAGAGGTCTTCGGCCGTCGGACTGGTGATGGGGACCGTCCGCGTGTCGCCATTCTCTAGGACTCGTCTTACTTACTAGTAGAGGGACCGCGCAGTGATCGCGTCGCGGCGCGCCGTGTCACCGGCGGGACCTCGTCGGCGACGGAATCTCGCCGGGCGAACGAACGCGAGTCATCCCACGTTGCCACGCCCCTGACTGTTGAACGCAGAGCCCAACGCAGCGTCGATTCCCACCTCAGGCTGCGCAGCGCGTCCAGGCAGGGAGGCGCGGCCAGCGATTCACGGCGACGTCGCGATCAGGCGGAGCCGGTGGCGCTCCGTCTGAACGTCGCGGGGCACGGGGCCGTCGAGGCGCACGGTGTAGTAGGGCCCGCTCGGATCCTCGTTGTGGACGGCGACGACGACGCCGAGCCGCGCCGCGCCGTCGCGGTCGTAGGCGACTCGCGCGCCGACGGCGAGCGGCGGCGCCCTCGGCGCGGCCGCGAAACTCGGGTTCACGGGCGGTGCGGAAGGGACGGCCGCGGCGGGCTCCGTCGAGGCAAACGTGCCCGCGACGCCCCAGGCGCTCGGTGGAGGCATCGCCGAGACAGGGATCCGGCAGACGGGGCAGGAAGGGTTCTCTCGGACCCACCGCTCGATGCACGTCGTACAGAACGCGTGCGCGCACGAGAGGTGGGTCTTGGAGCCCTCTATGCGCTCGCAGCAGATGGGGCACTCCTCGGTCGTCTCGTGCGGCGGAGGCGCGGGGCGTTGCTGCTCGCGTCGCGTTTTGATGTCTGCGCGAGCTGTGCCGGTATCGGGCCGCCGGCGCTTGATGCAGAGGCAGGCCAGGACCGCCACGAGGGCGCCCGCGACGGCCGCGGCCACGACGACGAGCATGTCCGTGCCGCCGCCGCTGGTGCCGCCGCCTCCAGGGCTTGGCGTAGGCCATGGAGTAGGTCGGCGCGTAGGCCGCGGTGTAGGCCGACGAGTGGGTCGCGGCGTAGGCCGGCGAGTGGGCTGAGGATTCGGCCGCGGCGTAGGTCTGCGCGTAGGACGAGGCGTAGGCCGACGAGTGGGCTGAGGATTCGGCCGCGGCGTAGGTCTGCGCGTTGGTCGTGGCGTAGGCCGACGAGTAGGCCGCGGCGCAGATGGAGGGCCACCATCGATGCAGGTTTCTGCGTTTCCGTCGGAGAACTTGCATCGTTCGCCATTCCAGTAGCAAGTCAGGTAGTCACCGTCGTCAAACTTGTAGCTCTGCTCGCATTGGCTCCGCGTTTCCGAATCACTGCAATGTTCGACAAGCGTTTCGCATTCAGCGCTGCATATTTCTGCATTTCCGTCGGAGAACTTGCATCGTTCGCCATTCCAGTAGCAAGTCCGGTAGTCACCGTCGTCGAACTTGTAGCTCTGCTCGCATTGGCTCCGCGTTTCCGAATCACTGCAATGTTCGACAAGCGTTCCGCATTCAGCGCTGCATATTTCTGCATTTCCGTCGGAGAACTTGCATCGTTCGCCATTCCAGTAGCAAGTCCGGTAGTCACCGTCGTCGAACTTGTAGCTCTGCTCGCATTGGCTCCGCGTTTCCGAATCACTGCAATGTTCGACAAGCGTTCCGCATTCGTGGTCTGAGAGACGGCGCGACGCGAGGATGTCCTGCGTCGACGAGCGGAGGAAGCGGCCCTTGAGCGAGGCCGCGGCCTCGACGTCCGAGGACGGCGAGTCGCCGGAGAGCGCGACGAGCGACTCCTGGCCGTGCGCGACGTCGTCGAGCTGCACGGACTCCTTGACCGCGAGGAGGTCCTGCGCCGACACGCGGAGGAAGCGGTCCTTGAGCGAGGCCGCGCCCTCGACATCCGAAGACGACGAGTCGCCGGAGAGCGCGACGAGCGACTCCTGGGCGTGCGCGACCTTGTCGAGCTGCACGGGCTCCTTGGACTTGACGAGGTCCTGCGCCGACGCCGACGAGCGGAGGAAGCGCTTCTTGGGGGTGGCCGCGGTCTTCGACGACGGCGCGCCGAGGTTCGACGACGAGGCCGCGACCTTGATGCCCTGGTGGGCGGCGGAGAGGAGGGCGATGGCGGTGAGGATGTGGAGCGGCATCGTCGCGTTAAACCTGTGTGATGACGAGTAAACCGCGAGGAGCCCGGGCGACGTCGCGCCGACCGAAGACGAGACCGGCGGGAGGAGGGTGCGAGATGAGGACTTGATGAGGGCCAAGAGGGCGCGGAGGGGAGGCGCGGGGGAGCGAGCGAGAACGTTCGAGACGCGGCCGCGTGCGTGCGAGTGAGAATGAATTTGAGTTGATTGTGTGTTTGGTTTTGGAGTGGGTGCAAAGAACGCGGCGACCCATAATGCGTTTCCTGGCGCACGATCCGTGAATGCTCGGCACCTCCGGACGCCGAGAGGCGTCCGAGGGCCGCTCGGAGCCTGCTCGGAGGCGGTCTCCGACAGCTCTTCGGCCGTCGGGCCGGCGCCGGGGACCGCGTACGCGGCGCGATTCCCTAGTGCTGTTTGCATACGTCAAGTGCGGTTACTACTACTTCGTACTTCGTAGTGTAGAGTGCTCACATCGGCGCGGCCGCGAAACCCGGGTTCATGGGCGGTGGCCGCGGTGCGGAAGGGACGGCCGCGGCGGGCACCGTCGAAGCGGACGCCGCGCCCGCGACGTTCCACGCGCCGGTGGAGGCATCGTCGACTGGCACGGCGACAGCGTCCACCGGCGCCGCCGCGCGGAGGGCCGCGATGATGTCCGTCTTCTCGAACCGGCCGGCGAGGCTCACGCCGCGCGTGTTCGCCATGGCCTTGAGCTCCTCGACGGAGTGTGTCTCGAGTCCGTCGCCGGGCGCCATCCACGCCGGCGCGAAGGGAACGTTGCGCTCCGGAGGCGCGCCGTGCCGCCGCTTGATGCAGAGGCAGGCCAGGACCGCCACGAGGGCGCCCGCGACGGCCGCGGCCACGACGACGAGCGTGTCCGTGCCGCCGCCGCTGGTGCCGCCGCCTCCGGGGCTTGGCGTAGGCCATGGAGTAGGTCGGCGCGTAGGCCGCGGAGAAAGTCGAGGATCCGGAACCGGAGCGGGTTGCGGGTTCGGCCGCGGAGTGGGTCGCGGCGTAGGCCGACGAGTGGGTCGAGGATCCGGAACCGGAGCAGGTTGCGGGTTTGGCCGCCGCGTCGGTCGAGGAGTAGGCCGCGGAGTAGGCCGACGAGTAGGCCGCGGCGTCGGGCGACGAGTGGGTCGGGGTGTAGGCCGACGAGTAGGCCGCGGCGTGGGGCGACGAGTGGGTCGGAGCGTAGGCCGCGGCGTCACCGCGCTGCCGTCCGCGGGGAGCACGTAGGCCGAGCCCGAGGAGGAGCCGGCGTCGTCGTCCTCGTACGCCCCGACGACGACGAGGTCGCCGCTGATGGCGACGGAGTAGCCGAAGTTGTCCTTCGCCGCGGCGTCGCTCGCGACGAGCTTGGCGGTCTGCGTCCAAGAGGCGCCGCTGTTCCTCGTGCGGAACACGTAGGCCGAGCCCGAGGAGGAGCCGGCGTCGTCGTTCCCGTACGCCCCGACGACGACGAGGTCGCCGCTGATGGCGACGGACTCGCCGAAGACGTCGTCCTTCGCGGCGTCGCTCGCGAGGAGCTTGGCGGTCTGGGACCAGGAGGCGCCGCCGTTCCTCGTGCGGAACACGTAGGCCGAGCCCACGTCTTCGTTGTTCCCGTCCGCTCCGACGACGACGAGGTCGCCGCTGATGGCGACGGATTTGCCGAAGTAGTTGTCCTTCGCGGCGTCGCTCGCGACGAGCTTGGCGGTCTGCGTCCAGGAGCCGCCGTCGTTGGTCGTGCGGAACACGTAAGCCGATCCCGTCTTGGAGCCGGCGTCGTCGTCCCTGTACGCCCCGACGACGACGAGGTCGCCGCTGATGGCGACGGAGTAGCCGAAGTAGTCCTCCGCCGCGGCGTCGCTCGCGAGGAGCTTGGCGGTCTGAGTCCAAGAGGCGCCGCTGTTCCTCGTGCGGAACACGTAGGCCGAGCCCGAGGAGGAGCCGGCGTCGTTGTTCCCGTACGCCCCGACGACGACGAGGTCGCCGCTGATGGCGACGGACTCGCCGAAGACGTCGTCCTTCGCGGCGTCGCTCGCGAGGAGCTTGGCGGTCTGGGACCAGGAGGCGCCGCCGTTCCTCGTGCGGAACACGTAGGCCGAGCCCACGTCTTCGTTGTTCCCGTCCGCTCCGACGACGACGAGGTCGCCGCTGATGGCGACGGATTTGCCGAAGTAGTTGTCCTTCGCGGCGTCGCTCGCGACGAGCTTGGCGGTCTGCGTCCAGGAGCCGCCGTCGTTGGTCGTGCGGAACACGTAAGCCGATCCCGTCTTGGAGCCGGCGTCGTCGTCCCTGTACGCCCCGACGACGACGAGGTCGCCGCTGATGGCGACGGAGTAGCCGAAGTAGTCCTCCGCCGCGGCGTCGCTCGCGAGGAGCTTGGCGAGCTGTTGCCCGGACGCCTTCGGGGCGAGGCTCCCGAGGAGGAAGAGGATGACGATCGACTGCCACGCGCGCATCGTGTGTTTTGTTTTTTGGTGCGCCTCTCGATCGCATGCGCTCGGTTTTCCCGGCGCACTGATCCAAGGGCTCGCCGACTTGACCCGTCCCGAGACGTCGTGCAAGAGCCGTCCGCGAGCCGCTCGGAGGCGGCCTCCGACAGCTCTTCGGCCGTGCGCCAGGGGCCGCGTACGCGGCGCGATTCCCTAGGACTCGTCTTACTTAGAGGGGCCGCGCAGTGATCGTGCCGCGCGCTGCCGTGGCGGGCGCGCGCGCGCGGATGTTTTGAGCGGCCGCGGAGCTGCGAGTCGTCGGGTTCGTGCGTGTTCAGCGCGTCATGCGTCGTGGTCGACGAAGTGACGATTTCAAGCGTCGTTATAGCGCTGCGGCAGGGCTTCAATTTGGGTCTACTTTTTCTTCGGCGATTTCTTAGAGTTCTTCTTCGCGTTTTTCTTCGACTTTCGCTCGGCTTGCGTTATTTTGCGCCGCATCTCTGCGCACAACTGCCGATATTCCGCGTTTTCTGGATCGAGCCTGGATGCCTGAAGGAACGCTGCCTCGGCGCCGTCAAAGTCCTTACGTTTCTGCAGGATACGGCCGAGGGCGAAATAAGTCGCGTGGAGCGGTGTCGGTTCGAGTTCAATGTGTCGGCTGAAATGTTCCTCTGCACCTTCCATATCACCCTTTACCATAAGAAGGTATGCGAGACAGAGATGAGCCTTTGGTTGCATACGTTTGCGCGCACTCTGGTCCGACGGGTTGCAGTCAATGGCCGCGCGATACCCTTCTTCGGCGCTGTCGACGTCTTTGCGAACTTCTTGTAGAAGCACAGCAAGGTGATAATGGGCCAGAGGGTAATTTGGATCGAGCGCGATGGCCTTTCGAAACATGCCTTCTGCCTCTTCGTATGCTGGGCTGCCTCTTTTCATTTCTCGCAGTGCTAAACCGCGCATGGCGTAGGCGAGCGATTGAAGCTTTAGAAACAGTGGGCGATCCGACGCGTCGAGCGATGACGGCTTGATTTCAATACATTTGTCCAAAGTTTTGAGCGCCTTTTCGTTGTGCCTCCCACCATTCTCTTGGCAAAAGGCGAGATAGAGCATGAACAATGCATCTTTCATCTGCGGATCCTTCTTGACGGCCAACTGGTACGACTTGATCGCCGCGGGCACGTCACGGAGTTGTTGGTGCGCGAGCCCCCCAGCGAAGAGCACGGCCGCCTCCTCCTTCATCTCCTCGGGCGCTTCCTCGAGCACGGCAGTGGCGGCGTTGGCGTCGCCGTCGATGAGGTGCCCGGCGGCCTTCGTCAGCACCGGCTGGACCTCGGCCGACTGTTGCGAAATCATGCGCACTGAAGCGCCCACTCCCACTTTCTGGTTCTCATCCATATTCGCATCGGACAGCCGCCTTAAGAGCTCGGCTTGTTGCGCGATAATAATATCATTCTGTTGCTCCACTTTACGGTTATGCTTGATTTGATCAGCGTCTCTCACGAGGCCGTAGTCGCGGTCAAGGTGCTCGAGGCATTCGGTGATCTCCTTGTCAAGCTTCGTCAGCGCTTCCACATGGCCGCGCTGTGTCCACGCGCGCTTTAGCTGTCCATTCTCTTCGAAGGCAACAAAGGCCGCCTGGTAATCCAGCACAAGGTCATTCAAATTTTCCATGGCTTTCTGAACGACTTTTCGATTTCCACGCTCGTACTTTTCGACATTCTCGGCCATGAGCTTCAATGAGGTGAGAAAAGTAGCCATCTTTTCCACTGCCTCGAACACATATTCCGCTTGTTCCTGATGCTCCTCGACAGAGATCAAGATTTCCCGCAAGCCCTCGCACACATGACCGATGACTGGCATCGCCTGTCCGAATAATAAGAATCCCCCGGCAAGTCTTTGGACCTGGTTGATGATGCCCGCCCGACGCCGCCGCAGCTCCTCGTACCGCGAGCTGCCCTCGAGCTGCGCTGCCGACGAGCCCAGCGGCGCCGGCGGGCGGATCTGCAACGGCGAACCGGGCGGCGGCGCGTGGACGACGGCGAGCGGCGCCGCCGACGCGGCCGCGAAACTCGGGCTCATGGGCGGTGCAGAAGGGACGGCGGACGCGACCGGCTCCGCCGACGTCGTTCCCGCGACCTTCGACGCGCTCGTGGAGTCATCGATGACTGGCACAGCGACAGCGGGCACCGGCGCTTGCGCGCCGGCCTCCTGCGGCGATACCTCAGGCTTCGACGCGCCACAGCCCATGGTACCCGCGGAGTACCTTGGATGTGGCGTTGGTTCTTGGGCGAGGTGAGTGGGCTCGGGTCGCGTAGCGCGACTTGTGCGCTTGAGCGTGTGGTTTGACTATGCTCGCCTTGCTATCTCCGGGCGTGCCGCGAAAGTCGATGCCAGTGGCATTCCGCGATCAGACGAGCCGGACGCATCCCCATGTGGATCCCCAAACACCCCCGAGGAACTAGAGCGCACGCCCCTATCACCAGGCCGCCCTACCCCTCACACCTCGGGCGGCTAGGCGGTCTTGGGCCGCGCGGAGCCCGCGCGCGCGGCCGTCGTCTTCGCGGAGCCGACGACCGCGCGTCGGCGGTCGTCGTGGCTCCTACCAAAGCAGCATAACTAACATCTTAAGACTTCTTCTTCCTCCGCGCGCGCCGGCGCTCGTCCTCCTCGTCGTCGTCGTCCTCCTCCTCCTCGTCGTCGTCCTCCTCCTTCTCGGCCTCGCGGCGCACGCGGAAGCCGCGCGCGACCTTCTGGACGAGCGTTGCGCACGCGAGGAACTCCGGGTTCTCGGCGGCCGATTTCGCGGCGACGTCCGCGACGGCCGCCGCGTCGAGCGCCGTCGACAGCAGCACGACGCGGCGCACGCCGCCGCCGCGCGCGTGCGCGCGCGCGCCGCCCGCGAAGAGGTGCAGGGACCGGCCGAGCGCGAGGTCCGCGGCGTCGCCGCCGGCGATCGACGCCGCGGCGGCGCCGTCGACGAAGGCCTCGAGCGTCCCCGCGGCGGCGTCGACGACGAGGGACACGGCGTGCCACTTGCCCGGCCGCAGCCGCGCGGCCGGCGGCGGCGCCGCGGCGCCGTCGCCCTCGACGTCGCGCGGCCGCGCGAGCGCGCCGTCGGCGTCGACGTAGAGCGACGCGCGGCGCCGGGGCCCCGCCGGGTTCAGGCACACGAGCGCCGCGTGGGCCCGCGGCGCCGGGAGGCGGTCGAGGCGCACGTCGAGGGTCAGCGTGTAGCGCTCGAGGGGCCGCGGGTGCGCGAAGCGCAGCGCCTTCGCCGGCACGTGGAGCGCGACGCCCGCGCCGGTCGCGCAGCGCGCGAACGTCGCCCGGCCGGCCGTGTCCGCGCGCTTCGCGAGCTCCGCGCGCCGGTGGCCGCGCACGCAGCGCTCGCAGACGTTGACGTAGCACTCCCAGCAGATCCGCGTCGTGCCCCGGTCGTCGCGCGGCCGGCAGCGGCCGCACCGCTCCCAGGAGCTCTCGTAGACGCTGAGCGCGTGGCCGCAGGCGCAGAGCAGCTCCGGCACGGGCCGCGCGGCGACGCGCGAAAAGTCGAGGCGCACGAGGTCCAGGCCCTCGCCCCCGCGGCGCCGCGGCGACGCCGCGGCGCCGCGCGGCGACGACGGGCCCAGCGCCGCGCAGCGCAGCGGCAGCCGGCCGCGGCCGAAGTCGAAGACCGTGCGCGTCGCCCCGTCGCCGGCGTCGGCGACGGCGGGGTTCACGCCCGCGGCGCCGTGGCGCCGCTCGGCTTCTAAAAGCTCCTCGTCGAAGACGCGCGCGTCCAGGGCTTCCGCGCGCGCGGCGGACCGCGCGCGCTCCGCGGCCGCGGCCTCGATGGCCAGGCGCCGCCTTCTCAGCTCCGCGGCCCGCAGCTCGTCCGCGCCGTGGGGCGCGACAGCCAGCGCGTCGTCGCCGCCCGCCTCCGCGTCGTCCGCGTCCGCGTCCACCCGCAGGGCCCGAGCGTACGCGCGGTAGCTCAGCTCGAGGCGGTCGCCCGCGCCGGCGTCGCCGCCCGCGGCGGCGCGCGCGGCGTCGACGGCCGCGTCGCCGTCGGCGTAGTGGCCCACGAAGTCGAGCACGTCCTCGGCCTCGACGACGTCCGCGCCCGCGCCGAGATACCGGAGCGCGCCGAAGACCTCCGGCGGCGCGAGGCGCCCCGTGTTCGACGAGTCGAAGGCGAGGAACGCGCGCCAGGGCCCGAGCCCCCGCTTCGCGATGGCGCTCCGCAGGAAGCGCGCCGTCGCGCGGCGGCCTAAAAGCGCGAAGCCGTCCTCGAGCTCGAACGCGCGGCCGAGCGGCGTCCGGCCCGGGTCGCGGTCGAAGCGGCGCCGCGCGGCCGCGAGCGCGGAAAAGTAGATCCGCCGCCGCCGGGGGGGCACGGCAGCGAGGGCCCGCACGAGCGCGTGGAGGCTCGCCTCGCCAAAGTGGACGTCGCCGTCGAAGAAGCGGAGGCACGCGTGCGCCACCGCCGCCTCGGACCGCGTCGCGCCCGTCGGCGAAAACGAGCAGCGCCCCGGCGGCGCCGACGCCCGGGCCCACCAGGCGGGCGAGGCGTCGAGCAGCACGCCGCCGTCGCCGGGGCCGCCGGGCCTCTCCGGGGCGGAGCCGTCGACGCGCGGCGCGTCGCCGCCCGCGAGCGGCGAGTAGCGGAGCGCGACGTCCGGGGTCGCGCCGTCCCCGCGCGTCGCCAGGGGCGCGTCGCCCCGCGCGTGGAGGGCGCGGCGCAGCGTCTCCGCCTCGCTCAGCGACAGGAGCACGTAGTAGCGCCCGTCCGTGCGCGGGTGCAGGCCGCCGGACGCCAAAAGCCGCGCGAAGCCGGCCTCGTCCAACAACCCCCCCGGGGTCCCGAACTCCGCGAGCACGCCGTCGAGCTTCGCCTCGCCGCAGGGCTCGTCGACGTCCTCCACGGTCTCCACGGCGTCGCGCAGCGCGTCGCGGCTCATGGCCGCGTCGCCGCCGCGGAAGAGCGCGTGCGCCTTGGCCACGGCCGTCGCCTGCCTTTCCGTGAGCCGCGCGGCGCCGTCCGCGGGCGGCGGCGGCGGCGCGCCATTTCCGCCGCCGCCGCGCGGCGCCCACTCCATGACGACGACGACGTTCCGCAGGCGCCGCAGGCCCCCCCAGGACCGCCTGAAGTAGTTCCGCGACGCGAGCAGCTGCCCCGGGAACGCGAGCGGCTCGTGGTGCCGCAGCGCCAGCTCCGCCAGCGGAAAAAAGGGCGCGTCGTCGTCGTCCACCGCGGGCTCGAAGGCCGCCAGCGCCGACAGGGGCCAGGGGCTCGCGGCCTCGGCGTCGCGGGAATACTCGCGCTCGACGAACTTCTCGACCTCGACGCGCTGGTCGCGCGCGGCCCGGATCTCCTTCTCCTGCTCCTGCTCCTGCTCGCGCTCCTGCTCCGTGTCGAGGCGCTTGCCGCCGCGGCTCTTTCGCTCCACGGCGTGGGCCGCGACGTCCGCGAGCACGCGCGCGGCCGTCGCGCGGTCCGACTCGGAAGCGCAGAACGCGGAGTGCCGGTCCACGAGCATCTTCAGCTTCGCCGCGAAGGGCGCCGGGTCCGGCACGGACGCCTCCAGGGACACGTCGATGGCCTCCTCGAAGACGTCCAGCGCGCCGTCGGTCGGCGTCTCCTCGTCAAGGAGCGCTTTGAACGCGGCCTTGCGATACACATTTTTCAGGTTTTGCGCGCAGAGCATGGACCACTGGAGCTGCTCCGACTTGAGCGCGTTGACCACGAGCCAGGCGACGACGCGCTCGAGGTCGCTTCCATCCTCCGCCGCGGCCTCGCAGCCCGCGAGCTCGAGGCGGAGCAGGCGCCGGACCTCGGGGATGAGGACGACGCGGACCTTTTGCCCGTTGCCGACGCCGCGCATGCGGTAGACGCCCTGCGCGTAGTCGCGCCAGACCATGTCCTTGCCCAGGGTCACGAGGGCCGTGGCGTTGGCCACGTGGCGGATGTCCATGCCCGTCGTGTGGACCATGTCGTAGAACGCGAAGCGCCGCTCCAAAGGCACGCCGCACTGCTCCTCGGGCATCGACCGGCCCGTCGCTCTCACCAGGACCTGCTTCTTGTCGTCGTGGTCGAGGTAGACGACGCCGTCGCACCAGGGCAGGCCCCGCTTCAGCAGCTGGCGGGCGACCTCGAGGTTCCGGAGCCCCGTGACGAGCGCGCCGGTGTCGATCAGCGCGTGCACGCGCGGCTCCGTCGCCGCGGCCGCTAAATCGAGAACGTTCGCGACGGACCAGCCGACGTCGAGGTGCGTAATATCCGTGACCTCGGGGTCCAACACCACATCCAACATGGCCGCGTCGTCGCCCTTCTCGTAGCCGCACTTGCCGAGCTCGAGGGGCAGCAAATCCGACGGCGTGCCCGAGAAGCCGACGCGCCGCGGGAAGAGCATGTCGCCGCCGACGGCCTGGCCGCTCGCGGAGATCTTGAGGCGCTGCGTGCGCATGTGCGTCGGCATCACATTCGCGCCCAGGAAGTGGTGGATCGCGTGGGGCTCGCGGCGCCAGAGGCCGTAGAGCCGGTCCATCTGGTCCGCGTTCGACCGCTGCAGGAACTTGAGCTGGACGACCGTCTTCGAGTCGTCGTCGCCCGCGCCCCGGCCGAGGCCGCGGATGCTCCCGCCGGCGCTCAGCACCCAGAGCTCGTGGCGCCGCGACGACGGCCGGTCGCGCGCGGGGCCGATCTCGCGGCAAAAGTCGGCCGTGAGCGCGTCGGCGACGTCGTCGAAGTCCTCGCGGCGCAGGCCGCTGTAGCGGTAGGCTAAAATCGTCAGCCCGATGGTCACGTCCGGGTGGGCGAACTCCGACGCCGTCGTCGGCACGTCCTTGCCGACGAAGGGCACCGCGAGCTTCAAACGGGACCGCGGCACGCGCGGGTCGTCCTTCAGCGCGCGCGCGATCTCCCGCTCCTCGAGCAAGCCGTAGCTCACGCGGTTCACCTTGGCGAGGCAGTGGGGCATGAAGGTGCCGAGCCAGTCCGCGGCGAGGTTCAGCAGCTTCTTCTGGTGCGGCGACGCGACGAGCGCCGTCGTCGCGGACGCGAGGCGGAGCCGCTCGAGGAACCGCGCCTCGCCGGCCAGCGCGGCGCGCGCGCACTCGTCGAGGGCCCCGCCCCGCGTCAGCGCGTCGAGGGCGCGGGCGCAGGCGACGCCGCCCGCCGGGTCCGGCGGCGCGTCGTCCGCGCCGCCGGCGGCGACGTCGCCGAACGATCGGAGCCGCGCGAGCCGCGCGGCGACGGCGCGCCTGAGCCGGTCGTGGGCGTCGGCGGCGCGGGCCCGGAGCGCGCGGCGCGCGGCGTCGTCGGCGTCGACGGCGGCGGCGCGGCGCCGCTCGAGGCCGTCGACGATCGCGCGGAGGCCCTCGAGCCGCGCCGTCGCGACCTCCGTCGACGTCGCGCGCTTCGAGGCCGCGGGCTCGTCGTCGCCCGCCGGGGCCGCGTCCGGCGCGGGCCAGGGCGGCCGCGCCTCGACCCAGTCGCAGACGCCGTCCGTCGCGTCCGTCGACGCGACGCCGAGGCCCCAGAGCCGCGCGCGCGCGGCCTCGGGCTGCGCGCCGTGTCCCACGAAGACGAGGCAGCGGCTCGGCGCCACGACGGGCGCCGCCGCGCCCTCGCCGCCGCCGACCAAATCCCGCAGCAGCGCCTCGCCGTCGACCTTGGACGACGCGCGCGCGGCGTCGTCGTCGTCGTCGTCGTCGCGGCTCCGGCCCTTGGGCCGGAGCGGCCACGCGCCGCGCGCGCCGTTCTGGCACATGTGGCCGTTGTGGTAGCCCCAGCCGTTGCCGCAGCGCACGCAGGCGCCGTCCTTGACGTGGGACCGGTTGCACGACGGCCCGCAGACGGGCCGGCGCTCGCCGCCGCCGCAGACGACGCACCGGAGCCGCTTCTGCCGCGCGAGGTCGCGGCACCGCGCGAGCGCCTCGTGGCGGTCGTCGCAGCGCTTCACGGCGACGCCCAGCGACTCCTCGAGCTTGACGCAGGTCGCGGCGACGGCGCCCGCGGCGTCGCCGTCGGCCGCGCCGTCGCGGTCGAAGTCGAGCGCCGCGCCCGCGCCCGCGCGGCCCGCGGCGAAGGCCGGCGCGAGCCAGACGACGACGCTGTTGTCCAGGGACGCGTCCGGCGGGTCCTCGGCGTCCGCGAGCCGCCTCCGCGCCGCCGCGAGGCGCCCGTCGAGCGCCGCGAGGTCCCGCGCCGCCGCGAACGTCGTCGCGTCCGCCTCGCGTTCGATCGCCCTTACGGCCGCGTAGAGCTCGCCGTAGCTCCTCGCCGCGCCGAGCGCCGCCGCGAGCTCCGGGGAGGCACCGTCGGCGTCGGCGGCCTCCTCCAGGAGCCTCCGTCGCGCGTCGACGTCCGACGTCGCGACGGCGCCCCGGAGCAGGTAGTCGAGCGCGTCCGCCCGCGAGATGCCCGCGAGGTGCTGCGAGCCCTGGAGCCAGGCGAAGGCGACGGCGGCCAGGGGCGGCTTGACGTGCGCGTGGTAGTAGGCCGGGTCCAGGAGCGTGAGGTGCGGCAGCCGCTGGAAGGCCATGCGGTCGTAGCCGCCGTCGACCGCGGCGCGGAGCCGCTCTAAGGCCTCGAGCACCTCGCCCCGCGCCTCGAGGGCGTAGGACCGCCGGTGCGACGCGTAGAAGACGGCGTCGACGAGCGCCATGGGCAGGCTCCAGCGCTCGCCCGCGTCCGCGCCGTCCAGGGGCCGCCTCTCGCCCACGGGGAAGTTGAGCTCCGACTTGAGCGGGTGGAGCAACAAATCGACCTCGTCGAGGAGCATGGCGCCGCCGCGGAAGAGCTCGAGCACGCCCCGCAGCTCGTCGACGCCCGGCGCCGGCCCGGCGCCGTCGCGCGCGCGCCGCAAAGCCTCGACGTAGCCGAGCATGATCGACTTGACGGACGTCGGCGTCGCTACCACCACCGCCCTCGCGTCGCGCGCGGCGACGAGCGACGCCAGCAGCTGCGGGCTCGGCACGGTGCTGCGGTCGTAGTGCAACGTGAAGACGCGCTTCGCGATGATCGTCGCGAAGGTCGCCCGGAGCCGCGCGCGCGTCATCTCGAGGAGCGCCTTGGGCACGACCGACACCACTAAACTCTCGCCGTCCGCGAGCATGAGCGCCAGGAGCGGCGCCACGACCGTCGTCTTGCCCGCGCCCATGATCATCTGCTTCACCGTGGACCGCCCGGCGAGCGCGTCGCTCCGGAGCTTCTCGACGATCTCGACCTGCTTGGGTCTTAAAAAGAGGTTCCAGACGAACTCGAAGACGAGGAACCGCGGGTCGAGGCCGACGCCGCGGGCCGTCGCCCGCGCGTAGGCCCGCGTCGAGCTCAGCGTCGCCGCCAGGGACTTGGCGATCTGGCGGATCTGGGGCCCCAGCACCGCCGCCGCGGCCCCGCGGTCCCCCGCGGCCGCCGCGGCCGCGAGCTTCTCGTCCAACGCCGCGCAGTCGCCCGCGACGCGGCTCAGCACGCCGACGCGGTTCGCCCGCAGCATGGTCGCGGCGACGAGCTCCAGGAGCGTTTCTATGGATGCGCCGTCGAGGAACGGGTTCAACTTGCGCACGTCTTCCTCCCCTTTCGACGACAGCAACGCTCCGAAGACGAACTCGGGCCAGAGCTCCGCCGCGGAGCCCGCGAGGCGCGCGAGCACGAAGGCGCAGGTCGCCGCGGGGTCGCCGCCGGAGACGTCGTTCGCCGCCCGCGTGAGCAGCGGCACGGCGAGGGCCACGGCGACGCTGTCCTCGCGCCGCGCGGCCTCGACGTCCGCGGCGAGCTTCGATACGCCCGCGCGCGCGTCGCGCAGCGCGTCGCCGTCGCCGTCGAAGAGCGCCGCCGCGTCCGCCGGCAGGGCCGCGAGCGCGGGCTCCCACCCGCCCCGCGCCGCGGCGAGGTCCGCGGCGTCGGACCGCATGCGCTCGAGGAACGCGGCCGCGACGGGCGTCCGCGCCGCGTCGTGGGCCGCGACGACGGCGAACGGCGCCGCGAGGTCCCGCCCGCGCCTCGACGCCCGTTCCCGTCGCAACACGTGGGCCTCCCGCAAGTCCCGCGTCGGCTCGAGCGTCAGCGTCGCGAGCGCCGCGGGCGACGCCGCGAGGCGCGCCGCGGCCTTCTTCGCGGCCTCGGCCGAGTACGTCGACGCTTCGCCGCCCGCGGCCTCCCGCAGCGCCCGCAGCTGCTCGCGCTCCGACGCCTGGGCGCCCGCCGTCTCCAGCGCCTTGTTGAAGGCCGTCGACAGCTTGAGCTTCTCGTCGGGCGTCGACGCGTCCATGAGGCCCTTGACCAAAGACGCGGCGAAGTCGTCGCCGTCGCCCCGCGGCGCCGCGGTGCAGTCGAGCTTCGCGTGGGCCTTGGTGCCGCCGCCGCGGAAGAAGACGCAGCAGGGCGTGCCTACGACGCCCACGGCCGCGGCGACGTCGTCGCAGTCGTCGAAGTCGAGCGTCGCGAAGCGCGCCGTCGGCGCCGACAGCGCGAGCGCCTTGACGACGGCGTCGCTCGACCGGCACGCGGCGCACCACGACGCGCGGAAGTAGGCCACGAGGAGCACCTTGTCGTACTGGCGGGCCTCCGCCAGCCGCGTCTCGCGGTCGGCCCAGGCGCGCCAGCCGTCGCCGTCGTCGCAGTGCGCCGGCGCGCGCGGCCGCCCGTCGGCCGCGCGGTCCTCCGGCAACGCGAGGTCGAAGCCCGCGCGCTTCGCCAGCTCCAGGATCTGCGTTTCCGTGACGCCCGACGCCTCGAAGGACGACCGGCCCGCGTCGCTGAGCTCCGGCAGCGCGCACCCGTCCGCGTCGACGACGGGCCGCGACCGCCGCGGCGCGGGCAGCGCGTCGTGCGGCGGCTTCGGGGGAAACAATAAGGCCCCGCGCCGCTTGCGCAGCTTCTGCATGACGGGCACGACCTGCTCGAAGAGCTCGCCGAGGGGGCTCTTGGGCTCCGCGTCGTCGACCCAGCCGTTGAAGATGTTCGACCGCCGCTTCCGCCGCGAGTCGCGGAACCGCGGGAGCCGCACGCAGAGCTGCTTGTTGCGGCCCAGCACGTTGACCAGGGAGCCCCAGACGCTCTTGACGCGCCGGTCGCTGTAGAGCTGCGTCAGCAGCAGCGCCAGGCGGTGCGAGTCGTTGGTCTGCTTCGCCTTCTTGCCCGGGAACGACGCGAACGCCGCGCCGTCGCGCGGCCGGTCGCTGCCCACGGAGCCCCAGCCCAGGCTCCCCCAGAGCCCGCCCGTGCTCCAGGACGAGCCGCAGACGTGGGCCTTGAGGTCGCCCTGGAACAGGGCGTAGAGCAGCAGGAACCCGAAGCCGTACTTCGCGCCCGCGAACGACTCGTCGCCCGACCAGACCTGGGCAGCACAAGGGTGATTCAACGTCGCTTCAACGTGAGTGTTCCGCGCGCGCGCGTTCCAACAAAAGCATCCACGCTTCGAGACCGTTCCGAGAGATGATCGCCCGTCCAAAAATCAGCCGAAACGAGTGGAAAACGGCCGAGATATGAGCCTTTGAAGTTGGGAATTTCGCTCTCTTGTGCTGCCCTGGACCAGACCTTCTCGATGACGCCCAGCACGCTCGCGCCGTAGAGCGACGCCGGCGGCGTGTACTTGACGCTCAGCAGCTCCCACTGGCCCCGCAGACCCTCTCCCACAAAATGGCGCCGCAGCTTGGACGCCTCGCCGCCGCCGTCGGGGATCTGGAGCGGCTCGTCGCCGCCGCCGCCGTCGCCGCCGCCCGCCGCGAGCTTGAAGGTGAAGCTCTCGCCGCCGACGTGGAGCGACGTCTCGAGCTTGCCCAGGCGCTTCGCGCGCTCCAGCGCCGCGGACACCTTGGCGTCGTGCGCGACCCATCCGTTCGGCGTCTCGCGCATCCACCGGACCTTGTGGAGCGGCACGTCGTCGTCCTCCGCGTCCGCCTTCTTACCGGCCCGCGCCTTCTTCTTCGCCGCCGGCGCGTCGTCGTCGTCGCCGTCGTCGTCCTCGGACGGCGCCTCGGACGCGTCGGACGCGGCGCGCGCCTTCCGCGGCCGCTCGGGCGTCGCGGGCGGCGGGTCCGGCGCGCCGTCGACGATGGTCACCGTCGCGACGGGCGGCCGCGCGACGCGCTCGAGCTCCGCGCGCTGCTTGGCGTTCAGCTTGACGATCTTCTCCGGCGCGACGCGCGTGAGCTGCGCGAGCTCGAGGATCTGCAGCTGCTCCCAGGGCTCCTTGGACATGATCTCGTCCGCGGCGTCCTCGTCGTCGTCGTCGCCGCCGTTCTCCTCGTGCTCCTCGTCCTCCTTCTTCTCCGCGCCCTTGGACGCCGCGAGCCCGAGCGCCGCGTCCTTGGCGGCCGCGCGGCCGCCGTCGTCGTCCAAAGGCGCGAGCGACACGGCCGGGTAGCACTCCGTGCACCCGAGCGTCTCGAAGACGTCCTCGACGACGCGGTCGACCGGGACGCCGTTGACGGAGAACGACAGGCTGCCGCCGTCGGACGTGTCCAACACGCACGCGACCTCGTCGCCCTCGGACCAGAGCAGCCCGCCGGCGCCGACGCGCGCGGCCTCGGTTCCCGCGACCCAGAGCTCGCCGGAGGCGTGGAGCCCGAGGCTCCCGCCGTCGCAGTCCGGCCCGCCGAGGCACGGGTAGAGCGCGGGGCCGAAGGCCTCGGAGCCCTCGGCGACGACGCCGCAGCCGTCGCCGCGGCCGCCGGCGCCCGGCGCGTGCGTCCACCGGAGGCGCCACGCGTGCACGCCCGAGTCCCGCTGCAGGGGCGCCGTGCCGCGCACGGCGACGGCGTCGCGGCCGCGGCGCGCCTCGCGGCGCTTCGCGCTGTAGGCCTCGTACTGGTCGCGCCACTCCGCGTTCCGCCGGTCGATGGCCTCCTGGCGCTTGCTCAGGTACGCCTCCTCGCCGAGGACCATCGCGCGGTAGCCCTTGCGTCTTAGCCGAATGTCCTCGTAGTCCGACGTGCGGTAGCCCTTGAAGCCGGAGACGACGTAGGTGTCGATGTCGATGTCGTCGTCGGAGAAGTAGACGTGGAGCCCGTTGTCGCCCTCGTCCGTGACGCTCTGCTCCCGGTAGAGCTTGCCCGAGAGGAAGGCGATCTCGAGGAACGTCTGCGTCTGGGGCTCGAAGGGCGCCCACTTGGCGCGCCACTCGGCCTTGCCGTCGTCCTTGGCCCACTCCCAGCACGCGCGCGCGTCGTCGAGGTCGTCCAGGTCGTCGCGGCTCGGCAGGACCGCCGTCGCGCCGAGCGCCTCCACCCGTAGGCCGTCGCCCGCGGCCTCGAGGTCCCAGGTCCAGAGCACGTCGCCGCCGTCGTCGCCGTCGTCGGCGGGCGGCGCGTCGCTCCGGGACGACGCCGCGTGGTGGCGCCAGGCCGCGTACGCGTGGTCGTCGTCGTCCGTGAGCTCGCGCTCGATCGCGGCGACGAGCGCGGGGATCGTCCGCGCCTCGTCGCTCTTCGACGCCGCGACGACGGCCAGCTTCTTCTCGCCCCGCGACAGCACGAAGGACGGGAAGTGCGCCACGCCGCGGGCCACGGCGAGCTCGTGGAGGCCCGGGTCCGCGTCGACCCGGCAACTCGCGAAGACCGCCGCGGGGTACGCGGGCGCGAGCGCCTCCGCCGCGGGCACGAGCGACGCGCACGCGGACGACCACGACGCCGTGAACGCCGCCACGACGAGCCAGCCGCCCGGCGGCGCCGGCGGCGCGGCGCCGTCACCGGGGGCCGCGTCCTTCTCCCGCGCGTCGCGCGCCGGGAGCCGCCGCGACGCGCGCGCCAAATCGTCGACGGACCGCGCGTCCGCGGCCTCCGCGTAGGACATGCCGAAGCACGTCTCGTCGGCGTAGAGCGGCCAGCCGTCGGACGTGCGCTCGCGCGGCGGCGTCGCGACGGCGCAGGTTTTTTCGCCCGCGGCCAAAGCCCGTAGGAAGCTCCGCCGGTTGTGGCAGAGCGCGAGCATGTGGGGCTCGTGGCCGCGGTCCGCGGGCGAGTACGCGGCCGAGTCCTCGTCGACGGCGCACTTCGGCGACTCCAGGAGGCGCAGCTCGTCGCGTAATGCTAAACGGCAGCAGGCGCCGACGTGGGGCAGCTTGGCGACGTAGCGGCTCAGCTCCGTCGTGAGGTCCCACGGCAACGCCTCGCCCGACTCCGCGGTCACGAGCGACACCTTCAGGCGCACGGCGTGGGCTTCCGGCGCGCGGTCGTCGTTCGCCTCGCCCAGCGCCGTGAAGATCGCCGCCTCGTCGACGCCCAGCGCGACGTCGGACGCGACGGAGTCGCAGAGGCGGAACGCGCCCGCGTAGTCGCGCTTCAGGAGCCGTAGCAGCAGCAGGTAGAGCGCGGACGGCAGGCCCCGGGGCATGAGGAAGGCCATGGACACGTGGACGGCGTAGAGGAAGAAGCGCGTCGACGGGAAGGGCTCTTTGCCGTCGTAGGCGCCGTTGTAGGTGCCCTCGCGGTCGAGCACGAGCTCGACGGAGAACGGCTGCGTCCGCACGGGCGGCCGCCGCGGGATGACGACGGGCACGAGCGCGAAGCTGTCGCCCCGCGCGTTCGAGAGTAAAAGCGCGTGGTCGATGCCCTCGAGGAGCGGGAAGGCCGCGGCGGCGCGCTGGTCCGGCACGACGAAGAGGTCCACGTGGTCGACGCTGAATAATCGTAAGGCGCCCGCGTGGTCGCGCCGCGCGGCGAACGACAGCTTCAGGCGGGGCAGCTCCACCAAGCTCAACTCGGGCACGCCGGCGGCGATGCCGTCGTCGTCGCCGCCGGTCGCCCGCGTCCAGGCCAGCACGTGGCTCAGGCACTCGACGCGCGCGAGCGTGCCCGCCAAAGTGAACAGCCGCGACTTCCGCGGCGCGTGCAGCAGGTCCAAGAGGCGCAGCTCGCCGTCGTCCGCCGCCGGCGCCGCGCCGCAGTGCGCCGCGACGGCGTCGACGAGCGCCGCGACGGTGTCGAAGGTCCGCCCGGCCGCGGCGAGCGCCTTGACCGCGCCCGCGCAGGCGCCGCCGTCGCGGCCCGCGGCGTCGAAAACCGCTCCTAAACGCGCCCTGACGTCGAAGGGCAGGGACCGCCCCGCGCCCGCCGGCGCCCCGTCGTCCCCGGCGTCGTCGCTCTCGTGCCCGTCGCTCGCCCAGTCGTCGTCCTCCGAGTCGCTGAGCCCCGCGAAGCGCCACTGGCCCTCGCCCTCGGCCTTGGCCTCGGAGTTCGCGCCGCGCGCGTTCACGTCCTCGGGCTTGACGCCGCGCTGCGTGCCCAGGTACTGGTAGGGCCCCGAGAACTCCAAGTCGTAGGTCCGCTTGCCGTAGTCGACGCGGACGACCTCGCAGGGCAGCCACTTGTCGGCCTCGTCCGCGGCGGCCGCGGCGCTCCGCCACTCGACGTCCGCGCCCTCCCGGAACGCGAGCTCCTCGACCTTGCCCGGCTTCTTCGGGGGCGCCTTGTCCCGGCGCTTCCGCGGCTCGGCGGACTGCGCGGCGACGCGGAGGACGCCGACGTCGGCGACGAGGGCCGCGAGCGCGTCGACGGCCGCGCGCCGCCGCTTCGCCGCGGCCTTGGAGACGCGCGACACGCGCGCGCTCCGCCCGACGAGCCCCGTGCACGTCAGCGCTGTGCAGCCGCCGTGGTCCACGAGCTCCACCAATATCAAATCGTCCGACGCCTCCTTGGACCCCGCGTCGTCGTCGTCGTCGTCGCCGCCGTCGTCGAGCGCGTAGCCGCGGAAGACCTCGCGGCCGAAAGCCGCCGGGTCCGACTCGTCGCGCCAGAAGCGGAAGTCGTCGAGCAGCGTCTCGGGGATCAAGCCCCGCAACAGCCGCGGCGGCGTGTAGGTCTCGACGCCGCCGCTGAGGTTGTCCGCGTGCGCCGCGTCGCGGCGGATGACGACGGACTCGTGGCGGCCGTCGCCGTCGAGCTCCGAGGGCACGTGGTCGAGCACGCCCACGGGGTAGGCGGCGCCGCCGCCGTGGGTCCACCAGGGCGGGAAGGGCGCCATTCGCCGGCCGCTCGACGGCTGCAGCGCCGCGAGGCAGAACCGCGCGTCCGTGGCGAGGTGGAGCGACCAGTGCCACTCGCGGCCGCGCGTGCAGAGCTCGTAGACGTGCGCGCAGCGCCGCCGCTTGAAGAGGACGACGCGCTTCGCGGGCCCGCCGAGGCGCTGGTGCAGCCCCAGCAGCTCCGCGACCTCCGCCGACGCCGGGAAGGGGTCGTCGGGCAGCAGGAACTGCATCGGCGCGGGCCGGGGGCCGTCGAAGAACGCGCGGCGCAGCGGCTCGAAGACGCGCGGGATCCAGAGCTCGCTCTCGAAGAGCTCCGACGGGTCGTACTCCCGGCCGTAGGTGTCCGGGATGGACGGGCAGTCGCCGTGGGGCGTCGGCCACCACTCGATGCTGTGGTCGAGGCCCACGAGGCGGTAGACGTTGCGGTGCTCCGCGCGCTCCGAGAGCGACGCCTGGATCGCCGCGTCGCCGAAGACGACGCGCACGTCGCGGTAGCCCGCGACCGCCGATTCGAGGGCCGCGAGGTGCTTGCCCCGGAGCGTGAGCTGGCCGATCTGCGCGTCGATCTCGACGTCGAGCTCCGACGAGTCCGCGACGGACCGCACGGGTCCGCCCGCGTCGCCGCGCGCCGTCGTCGTGTAGCGGCCCCGGTTCCGCGCGCCGGCGACGCGGCCCCAGGCCGCGTCGGTGGACGCGTCGCCGTCGCCGTCGACGAAGGCGCCCGTGACCGACGTCGCCGTCGCGAGCGCGGGCGCCATGATCGCGTCGAGGCCGGCCTGGTCCGCGGCCGCCGCCGCGGCGCAGAGCCGCCGCCGCGTGTGCTGGAGCAGCTCGTAGAGCTCGAACTCCGGCACGAGAATCTTGCCGTCGTCCCGCCGGAACTTGTTGAACGTGTGGCGCGTCGTGAGAAATAGGAAGCTGCCCAGGAGGCCCGGCACCGACGCGTCGTCCGTCGCGTCGCGCCGCAGGAGCAGCTGGTGCGCGTGCAGGTCGCAGGCGAGGCGCGAGTTGCGGTCCACGAGGGCCTCGTCGCCCGGCGCCGCGCGCGTCTGGGCGTCCAAGGTCCGCAGGTACTCGTCCAGAAGCCGCCCGAACGCCGCGAGCTGCGCGCGGAGCTGCGCCGCGCCCGCCTCCAGAGCCGACGCCGCGACGCCGCCGGGCACGTCGAGGTCGCGCAGGGGCACGCCCCGGAGGCATGTCGCGTTCGCGTTGGCCACCGCCGCCGTGCCGTCGCGCGCCGCGAGCAAGAACGCGACGAAGTTGGCGACGCGCGCGCCCAGGCGCGCCGCGTAGAGGATGATGCCGACGCCGCCGTTGAAGTCGTCCGACGCCGCGTCGCACACCGCGCCCGTATCCAGGGCCCGCGCGCCCCGCAGCAACGCGACGACGTTGCCCAGGACCGCCGCGGGCGCGCGGCGCAGCTCCGCCAGGAGGTGGCCGTGGGGCGTCGCGAGTAGTTCGTTGCGCGGCGTCGGCACCGTCTCCGGCGCGACGGCCGTCGCGGCGAGGCCCAGGTGGCGGCCCGGCTCGAAGAGCACGGCGTCGAGCAGGCCCCGGAGCGGCCGGCTCGCGAGCTTGTGGACGCGGTCCTCGGACGCGAAGAACGTGAGGACCAGCGGCAGGCGGATGTAGGGCACCGTGAGGTAGCTCAGGAGCAGCTCCGCGTCGCGCTGGCCGAGCGCGGGCACGTCGTCGGCCTTGGAGTCCTGGAAGCCCGGCAGCGACGGTCGATACAAAATGTCGTTCTCCGTGATGTTCCGCCGCTGCTTCGCCGACAGCCCGGGCCCCAGGTAGGCGCCGGGGTCCGCGCGCGACGGGTAGCGGTGCCTCGGCGCGTCGTCCTCGGGGATCTTGCGCCCCGTGACGGGGTCGAGCGCGTCCGGGTCCGGCCGGCACCGGAGGCTCGCGCCGCCCATGGACACGGCGTAGCCGCCCTCCTCCGCGGACCAGCCCCAGGTGAGCTGCGCGCCGAGGCGGTCGCAGCGGCTCACGGACCGCGCGTCGCGCGAGCTCCGCTTCCGCCGGCCGCCGCCGCCGGGCCCGCGCCGCTCCGGCGCCGCCGGCGCGTCGTCGGAGGGCACGTAGTTGGCGAAGGCCGCGCGGTCCGCGTTGAGGAAGAACTTCCAGAAGAAGTTGAGGTCGCGGTACGGCGCGATCTCGGGGAAGTTCTTCATGACGTTCGACGTGCAGGGCAACGCGTCGCAGAGCTCGAGGTGCGGGTTCGGCGTCGCCAAGGACAGCTCGCGGCAGAGGTTCCGCAGCAGCGCCACCGTCGGCCGGCCCGGCCGCAACTCGAAGGCGTCCTCGAAGGCCATGATCTTCTCGAGGCCCCGCTGGTCCGGCGACGAGAAGTAGTCGAGCACCGCGGACCGGCAGACCGCGAGCGCGGGCGCGTGCGCCTCGATGGCCGCGGTCTGGGACGCGAAGGTCTCGCAGGACAGGCCGTAGCCCCGGTGGCCGAGCTGGCGGCCGCAGGCGAGCTGGCCCCGGAGCTGGCAGCAGAACGAGCTCGGCGCGTCCGCGGCGCGGCGTCGTAGAATGGCGTCCGCGATCGCGCAGGCCGCGCCGGGCACGACGAGGCACGCGAGATCCAGCGCGCGGTCCTGCTGCGTCGACAGCACGGCGGCCGTGAAGTGCTCGACGAGGCGCCGCAGCGTTAAAAGCGCCTCGACCTGCGTCGCGTAGTCGCAGTCTCCGTCCCACAGGCAGTCCGCGGCCGTCGCCGCGGCCTCGGCGGCCTCGCCCGGCGCCCAGTCCGTCGGGACGGCCTCCGGCGCCGCCTTTTCCGGCTCCTTCTTGGCCTTGCGCCGCTTCGCCGCGCGGCCCGCGGCCGGCGACGACGCGTCCGCGCGCGGCCGCGGCGTCGGCACCGCGCACGTCAGCGTGTGCTGCACGAGCGCCAGAATCAGCAGCTTGTCGTTCTTGATGGCGTGGGGCTGGTTGTCCACGAGCGAACAGAGCCGGTCGCAGGTCCGCAGCGCCTCGAGGGCCTCCTCGAAGGTTGCGGCGACCTCGGGCACGGCAAGCGCGTCGATCGCCGCGTACTTGCGCAGCGTCGCCGCATTCCCCGCGTCCGGCGCGCAGGGCTCGACGCGCCAGGCCAGGGCGTCGCGCCACTGCGTCGCCAGAGACGCCTCGAGGTCGAGGTCGACCTCGACGTTGCCGTCGCGCGGCCGCGCGCCGTCGCCGACCTCGGAGAGGATGCCCTCGGCGATGGCCCGCGCGGCCCGGGGCCCGCCGTCGCGGAACCCCGCCGGCGCGTCGGGCCGCGCGGCGAACTTGGCGGCGCCGTAGGCGAGCTGCGTCGCGACGAGCCTCGCGACCTTGGCGCCGTTCGCGTCCGGCGCGACGACCCGCAGGTCGCGGGCCACAAAGTCCGCGAGCTGCGCCTTCAGCGCCAGGCGGACCTGCTTCGCGTCGCGGCTCCGGCAGCCCCGCCGCAGCATCAGGTAGTGCAGGGCGTCGAAGAGGCAGCGCACGTAGGCCGTCTCGGACCGCTGCGGCGACCGCCACGCGCCGCGGCGCCCCGCGGCGGCCGCGCGCGCGTCGAACGCGTCGTCGCCGTCGCCGGCGGGCTCGCCGCCGTCGCGCGCGTCCCGCTCCGCCTCCACGAGGGACGCCTCCAACGTCTTGCCCGTGAGGAAGGGCAGGAGCACGTCGTAGAAGCGCCGCGTGTCGCCGTCGTGCGCGTGGACCGCCAAGTTGTACGCGGCGGCCCAGAAGACGTCGTCGAGCGCGTTCTTCTTCGGCACGTTCGCGAGGACGAGCGCGGACCGGAACTTGACCTTGCGGCCGTCGGCGGCGTCGACGGCGTGGTGCCGCAGCGCGCGCGTCGGCGCCGTCGCGACGACCACCACGGTGAACGTCCGCTCCGACGGCCGCTCGACGACCAGGAGCAGCTCGCGGCCCTCGACGAGCAGCGGCAGGAGCAGGGACTCGCCGACGTCCGCGTCGGTGAGCTTCTTCTTGATGGCCCGGAGCCAGGCGCAGAGCTGGGGGCCGCCCGGGTTCCGGAGGAGGCGGACGAGCCCCTTCATGAGCGGCGCGGACCGCGAGAAGACGTGCGCGGCGTCGGCCGCGGCCTGGGCCGCGAGCCGCGGCAGGCCCGCGAGGAAGGGCGCCTGCTGGCGCAGGCAGCGCCGCAGGGCGACGTCGAGGACCGCGTGGCTCCAGGCGAGCAAACTCGACGCCTCCAAGCTCGTGCCCTCGACGTGCGCGTCCCCAAAGGCCGCGACGATCGCCGGCGCGTCCCAGGCGGGCCGCGGCTTCGCGAAGAGCTCGGCGAGGGCGAGCTTGCCGCGCATGGCGTCGACCTTGGCCGCGTCGTCCTCCGCGACGGCCGAGAAGACCTTGTCGCGCGCGCGATGGCGCCGCACCGCGCCGTCGTCGAAGGCCTTGAGGTCCACGCGCGCGGTTCGCAACAAGATCCCGCCGGGCATCATGGCCTCGGACCGCGAGGAGAAGAGGTACAAGCCGTCGGAGCGCAGGGAGAAGCGCTCGTTCGCCGCGACGCGCTCGTGGCGCACCAAGGCCAAAGGCGTCGCCTGCACGTAGGTCCGGACCTCGCCCTTCTTGACGCCCCCCGCGCTGCGGCCCGAGCCCCCGCCGCCGCCGCAGCGCACGGAGACGACGACCCGCTGCCAGCGGCCCGGCTCCACGCGCGCCTTCGCCGTGTCGCCGAACGTGCCGAGCGCGCCGACGCCGCCCGCGCCGTTGACGAGCGCCTCGCCCTCGGACACGCGCGCGCGCCGCCGCCCGCCGCGGCTCTCCTCGCAGTGGACGAGCGCCGTCTGGAACAGGCTCAGCCCGCCCGCGGGCGGCGGCTCCTCGAAGAAGACGTCCAAGGTGACGGTGTAGTCGTTGACGAGCTCGCGCGCGGGCCGCCAGCCCTTGGCGTCGCCGCGCGCGCCCGCGGCGTCGCGCCGGTCGCCGCGCCGCGCGCCGCGGCCGTCGCCGCGCCGCGGGTCCCGCGCGTCCGGGCCCTGCGACACGAGCGCGGTGAGGTCGAGCTTGACGCGGTGGCCGGGCCTGATCTCGAGCGCGTGGCTGCCGTCCTTGAGCCTCCGGTAGGTCGCGTGGCCCGGCGCGCGCGTCGACGGGGCGGGCGGCGCCGCGGGCTTGCTCGGGTCCTCGTGGTCGTCGTCGCCGGACCGCGGCGGCGGCTCGGGCCCGAGCGCCGGCGGCCGGTCGTCGCCCTCGAAGAAGTCGTCGAGGTCGTCGCGGTCGCGGTCGTCGAAGCCGAAGTCGTCGGCGTCCTTCTCCGCGCTCGACTCGGCCTCGCGCCGCGCCGCCTCGGCGAGGTCGCGGCCGCGCCGCGGGTCGACGAGCTCGCAGCCCGCGGGCCAGTGGTCCGCGCCGCGCCGGAAGTCGAAGAGCCGGCTCGGCGTGCGGTCGTCGTCGCCGGACGCGGCGCGCCGCCGCCGGCGCCGTGGGCTGCCCTGCGCCGGCGCGTCGGGCTCGCCGAGCACGTCGCCGCCGAGGCTGCCATAGGACTGGTCGTAGGCGCTCGGCTGCGGGCCGTCGCTGTCCTCGCTCGCCTCGTCGGCGGCCGGCCGGCCGCCGTTGCCGAAGAGCTCTTCTTCCTCGTCCTCGCTGCCGCTGGAATACATGTTGTTGGCGTTGCTGCACCGGCCGCGCGCGCACGACGCGAAGGCGCAGGCGGAGAGCTCGCCTCGCAGAGTCCTCGACGCTCGACGCTGCACCTTCAAGAATTTCGGGTCCGTCGAAGCTGCCCTCGCGGTGCCGCTCGCGGCGTCGCGCCCGCTTCGAGCGGCAAGAGCCCGGCCTCGTTGAGCATCGTGCCTCGTATCACCAACGGCGGCGTCCCCCCACGCAGGGTACCGCGCGAGAGGCGCGTTCGCGCGAGCGGCCCGTTCGCGCGCGAGGTTCGCGCGTTTGAGGCTTGATACTCGAGGCTGCCGGCTTCGTCGTCGCTGGCACTCGTATTTCGGAGTTTCGTGGTGTCTATCTCGTTTTCTGAGAGGTGGTTTGCTATAAAATTTGACAACGAGTTTCGCCACAACGAGCAAACGCACGCCCCTCAGCGATTCCCTGATTTTGTTGAGGGCCGTGGGCGTCAGCTCGCGCAAATCTGGAACGCACCTCGCGGCGTGAAACACATGGAGTCCGCGGAGATCCTCGGCGAGCCAAAGGAGGTCCACGCCGACGCCGTCCTGCGCCAGCGTCGACGCCAAGCACCGACGCACCCATTTGCGACGCCTCGGACGCGTGCCAGAGAGCCTACGTGAGCACGGCTCACGTCGTTGACACCTCGCGCCGCCGCCGCCGCCACGTCTCGACGCCTCAACGCGTCACACCCTCAACCCCCCTTACAGGTCCGCGCCGACCTCCTGGAGCTCGGCGAGGGCAACGACTACGCGACGTGCCGGCGCGTCGTCGAGAAGGTCCTCGGCCGGCGGTTCCACGGCGCGCTGCCGCTCCACCCGTCCTACGTGCCCGCGCGGTGCCCGGCGGACGCCATGCCCCAGTCCGGCTGCTACGTCAAGCGCAAGCGCTGGACGGACACGCTCCACCTCGGCTACGAGCCGGGCGTCTACCTGCTCGTCGGCGAGAACCCGAACACGTCCGCGCCCGGCGCGGCCGCGCCGGCGTCCGTGCCCCCGTCCGAGTGGTGCGACACGAGCGACCTCGCGCCCTCGGAGTGGCGCAACGCCAGCGGCCTCCAGCCGGCGCCCTACGGCTTCGAGAAGAAGAACTGCGCGAGCGAGTACGTCATCTGCGACGAGCGCGGCGCGGCGTCCGGGGGGCGGGGCGATGCGTTGCGCCGCTTCCGTCGCCGCGCGCGCGCGCCCCGGAGCGCGTCGCGCGACGCTCGCCCGTCGGCAACGATGGCGCGGGACGCGACGTCCAACGCCTCGCCGCGCAGGTACTACGCCGTCCGCGGCGTCTGCTTCTTCCGCACGGAGGACGAGGCCCTCGCGAACTGGAACGCGGGCCTGCCCCTCGTCCAGGTCCTGCAGATCTCCCCGAAGGAGGCGCGGCTCGTCGCCGCGCCCCGCGGCGGCGCGCCGCCGAGCCCGAGCCCGCCGCCGAGCCTGCCCCCGCTCGCTCGCGACGAAAGCTGAGCGCCGCGGCCCGGCCGCATCGAGCGCCGCGACCAGGCTAAATTAGACGACCGCCGGATGAATGCTCCTCGGCTCCCCACGACGACGCGCGAAACGACCTCTTATTGCACGAAGACCCCGCCCCCAGTTTTCCCGCCCGGGCTCGACCGCCTCTTTCGCTCGAAGAGTCCGCCGATGTCTCCCGCCGGATCACCCAGATAAGATTCTCGTTAGATAGCATCGCGGCGCGGACGACGTCGAGCGGAGCGTCGAACGACGTCGAGCGGGGCGCGAGCGAGGTGGTTCTCGAGGGGGAGGGGGGGCGGGATCGGAACGAGGGATCGAAACGAGAAAATCATCGGAACGACGACACGGCTCAGGGGGCGGGCTCGTTCTTGCGCGGCGGCGCCGGGCCGGGCCCGACGTCGTCGCTCCGCGCGGCCGGCGCGGGCTCGTCGTCGCCGGGCGGCGGCGCGGGCGCGGGCGCCGGGCCGGGCTCTTCGTCGCCGCCCTGCTCTGCGCGCGCGGGCGCCGCCGCGGTCCCGGCGGGCGCCGCCGCGAGCGACACGCGGCCCGGCGGGATGCGCGACTGCTTGGCGCCGATCTGGAAGATGACGACGAGCGGGTAGCCCGCGTTCCAGCGCGCGAGCGCGTCGCGCGCGCGGCGGTAGAACCTGCGCCGCGACTTGCGCACAGCGCACGCGAGCGACTCTCGACACCGTCGAACATGTGAAGTCGCGTTGAAGGCGCGATCGTTTCCCGCGCGGACCGGCGGACGCGACGCCCTTCATCGACCAGGTCTCCGGGCCGACGCGGTACGCCGCGCCCGCGTTCTTCTTCTCGAAGCCGGTTAGCGTCGGCTGGCGGCCCGCCGTCGCGCGCCACTCGGCGCTGCCCAGGTCGGAGAAGTCCGCAAAGGCCGGCGATGAGCCGGGCGTCGGCCCGACGACGACGTAGACGCCCGCCTCGTAGCCCCGGTCGAACCTGTGTTTTGAATCGCGTCGACGCCGTGCGACGGCGTGGCCGGGCAATAATAGGAATGATCTCCAAAAAAACGCCGGGCCGCGCGTCTCGGCCCAGGGCCGCGCCGTCGCGTAGACACCGTCCTGCGGCAGACTCGCGGCCGGCAGGGACAGGGGCACGTGGTTCGCGTGCATGCGGATGCAACCGTGGTACCGCCGGCCTAAGACCTTCACGATGACGCGCTCGATCGTCTGGAAGTCGCCCTCCTCCGCGAGCTGGAGGAGGTCCGCCCGCATGACGTCCATGTCGATGACCTTGGGCTCAGCGGGGGTCGTGCCGCCCGGCACGTTCATGGCGTCGCACGGACGCGACGCCCGCGCCCTCACGCCGGGGTGGGCGGCCGCGACGCTCCCACGCGATCGACGGCCTCGCGCGCCGACGACTTCAGGCCGACGAAGGCGTCTCAACGCGACTGTGTCAATGTGTCAAGTGTGGTTGGCTCAGCAAAATGGGTGGACCTCGGCCTACCTCGCGGCTCGCTCGCCTGGCTCTAGCCTGGGCCTGGGCTGGTCCGATCTCGGCATGAACGCAGGAGGGGGCATACAAGGCGCGCGTGGCAGTCGCGCGAGGAGCGGGCGAGAGGTGAGCGGGGCCGCGCGAGAGGGACCCCGCGCGGAAGCGGGGCGCGTCTCTCGCGAGGGGGGGCGGGCGGCGGACGTTCGAGCAAGGCAGACGAGGATTATCATCGGTGCAAGCGGAAACGACGACGGGGCAGTCGATGGAAGACGAGCGAAGGCCGGTCGCGAGACGACGGATCGGGCGGGGCGATCCACTGCTTCGGAGACCGGCGCGTCTCGCGCGCGGGGGGGGGCGGCGGCGAGCGCGGCGCGACGGACGTCACGGCTGGGTGTCGCGGGGCTCGACGACGAGGGCGGCGGCGACGTGGAGCCCGCGGTTCCACCGCGCGAGGGCCTCGGCGCCCGCGCGGCGGTAGAGCGTCGCCCGCATAGCGACGAGGTCGCCGCCGACGACGTAGGTCGCGTCAAAGTGGCGCGCCTCGACGGTCGCCACCAGCGCGTTGTCCTCGCCGAGTCGCCACTCGGCGGCGCCGAAGGCGTCCGCGTCGCGGTACGCCCACGACCGCTCGGCCGTCGGATTCGCGCCGATCGCGAGGTAGCAGCCGGGATTGTAGCGCCGGTCCACGTCGACGGTCCCGGGATACCCCTCGTCCCCGTCCGACGCCGCGGCGGGGCAGGACGTGGGCACGGCGCGCATTGGGAGCACGCCGCCGAACATGAAACCGAGCGTTTGGGAAACGAGTCGATGAGCATCGTCGATGCGTCCGGCTTCGGCGAAGGTGAGCACGTCGTCGATGGCGGGCCCCGATGTCATGGAAACGTTGCCGACGCACATATCCCAAGCACGTGGGTGTTGTTGTGTGTCAGCGCAACATGTCGAAGGCCAGATGGATGCGAGGCCTTGCTGTGATCGACGACGTCTGTTTTGTGCTTAGCACGGTGGACTTCAAGTGCAGTAATATTGAGGTTGCGTAGAGGCCTTGGGTGCAGGGAAGCAGTCAGATTAAGCCCACGGAAGTCAGATATAGACGTCGACTTAGTGTTCCCGAAGGCGCGACGACCCGCGGGACTTCCTCGAGCGCGAAGGAAACGCCCAGGGTTCCTCCGAGTCACTAAACAACAACAAAAAAATTTTACGTCTCCCGCCCGATGGCCGCCCTCACGGCGTCGACGTAGAAGGGCGCGCGGGGCACGAACTCCGCGTCGCCCGCCGCGATGCGCGCGAGCGCGTCGTCCGCGTCGACGAGGACGAGCTCGCCGACCTCGCCCGCGCCGACGCGGAAGACGGCGTCCGCGAGCGCCGCGCCCGGCGACCCGAAGGCGTCGGCGGCGTCGGGCCCCCAGGGCAGGACGAAGACGTCGCAGATCTCGAAGTCGTCGTAGGGCCCGTGCGCCGCCGTGGACCCCGACGACGGGTTCGCGCCGGCGAACGCGTGGACGAGGCCGTCGAGCGCGGGCCGCCGCAGGCCGAGCTCCTCCGCGAGCTCCTTGAGCGCCGTGTCCCGCGCGCCGTCGTCCCCCGAGACGTGGCCGGCGCAGGCGACGTCGAGCTTGCCCGGGTTCGTGTCCTTGAGCGCGCTCCGCCGCTGGAGGAGGAGCGTCGAGCCCTCGTAGATCCAGACGTCGACGCAGCGGTGCCAGTCGCCGTCGCGGTGCACGTCGCGGCGCGGCTTGAGCCGCGAGCGCGCGATCGCCGCGTTCTCCGCGGCGGTGAGCGGCCGCGCCGTCGCCGGCGGCGCCGCGAACGTCCGGAAGAGCTCGCCGCCGTCCTGGCCGCCGGCGCCCGCGGCGCGCTCCTCGAAGATCGTGCCGACGGGCGCCGTCGCGACGCGGCCGCCCGAGAGGCCGCGGCCCAGCGCGGGATCGAGGCGCGCGGCGTCGCCCCCGGCGGCGGCGGCGACGAGGACCCGCGCGCAGAGCGACCGCGCGCCCATGAGCGCTGTGTTTGCGCGCGCAAAGCCTGGCAAGTCGAGAGGCGCTCTCAGCAGAGGCGGCGCATCGAGAGGCTGCCCATCGAGGTTCTCAACTTGAACGCAAGGTCGATCTCAAGGGCCGCAAACGTCCGGGGGCTGCCCCTCTCAAAACCGGCGCAGACCCTCTTCAAAAACCGGTTTGCGGTCGCGCCGCGTCGCTGCAGCAGGACCATGGCGCTGACGAAGCGGAAGGTCAAGGGCGAGCGGCGGCGGCGGCGGTGGCAGAACTTCCGGCGGCGGCGGCGCCTGCTGGGCTTCGACGACGTGCCGGCCGTGGAGCGGCCGCGCCTGTCGACGCGGCCGACGCCCGTCGTGCTGTCGCTGCGCGAGGTCGACGGCTGGAGCGTGCCGCGGGCGCTGCGCGAGCGCGTCGGCGGCGGGCGGCGCGAGCTGCGCTGCGCGCTGAGCCTGAGCTTCTTCGACGCCGCGAGCCGGCGCTTCTTCGGCGGCACGTGGATGGGCGCGGCGACCGAGGCCGCGGGCAGCGGGTCCCTCAAGGTGAAATGCTGCGAGCTCGTGCACTGGTGCACGCGCGTCGACGACGAGGCCTGCGTCGCCGTGCTCGAGCTCGTGGCCTGCGAGGTCGACCCGGCGACGGGGCGGACCGTCGCGCAGTACGGCTGCGGCTGGAGCTACCTGCGGCTCTTCGGGCCAAACGGCGCGCTGCGCGTCGACGCGTCCGACGAGAACCCGGCGCTCCTGGCCCAGGGCGGGGGCGCCTACGAGACGCTGCCCGTCTACGACGGCACGCCGCGGCGCCTCGTCGCGGCCGCGGCGAAGCTCGGCGTGTCGCGGACGCGGCCGCGCGGCGACGGCGGCGACGACGGCGACCTCGCGCTGGCGGCGGGCGCGTCGGAGATCCGGGGCTGCGGCATCGTCTACCGCGCGCGGCGCCACGACGGCCTGCTGCGGTGCGCGCACCTCGTCGGCGAGGACGAGGTCGTCGCCGTCGACGATCTCGTGCCGGGCCTCGCGCCCTGGGGCGCCGTCGCCGACAAGGCCTCCAGGGGCGGCCGCCCCGCGGGGCGCCACCTCGAGCTCCCGCCGGCGGGCCGGTCCGTGAGCGGCCGGCGGCCCATGCTCGGCGCGGTGGTCGTCGAGGCGTCGCGCGCGTCGGGCGCCGAGGCGTGGCACCTCGCGCCGAATTTGAAGCCCAGGCTCGCGACGGAGCACGTGCTCGTGCTCGAGGAGCTGCGCGTCAAGGTCGAGGACCGGGGGCGCCTCGAGCAGGCGCTGCTCAACTACGTCGGCTTCCAACAAACTAAAACCGCGGCCGGCGGCCAGACCGTCGAGAAGCGCGAGAAGATCGTCGGCCGGCGCCTCGCCGTGGGGCTCCACAACGGCCGCGCGCTGACGCTGCGCCGCACGGAGCCGACGGGGTTTACGTACGTGGACCTGGACCGCGCGGACGGCGACGTTTTGGCCGCGGCGGAGGGCGCGCGCGTCGTGCTCCCGGGCTACTGCAAGCACGCGCTCTTCGCCGTCGTCGTCAGGGCAGCACAAGAGAGCGAAATTCCCAACTTCAAAGGCTCCGATCTCGGCCATTTTCCACTCGTTTCGGCTGATTTTTGGACGAGCGATCATCTCTCGGAACGGTCTCGAAGCGTGGATGTGTTTTTCGTAACGCGCGCGCGCGCGCGGAACACTCACGTTGAAGCGACGTTGAATCACTCTTGTGCTGCCCAGGTCGTCGTCGCGCTCGAGTACGAGGTGCGCCCGCTCCAGCGCGTGCCCGTGCTCTCCGGCGGCGCGGCGGCGCCGCAGACGTTCCGCGTGTGCCTCGGGCTCCAGGGCTACGTGCCCTTCGACGGCAAGCGGTTGCGGCTGCGCACGGGCCGCGACGCCAAGTACGTCGAGGTCGCGCTCGCCGTCGACGACACGTGCCGCGAGGTCTCGAGCCACTTCGTCTGGCCGCCGCCGCCCGACGGCGGGTCCGCGGCGGCCGCGGCGTCGCGCGGCGACTTCGACGCGGCGACGCTCCAGCGCTTCGCCGGCGGCAAGCTCGTGGGCTTCGACCTCAGCGCCGTCGACGGCAAGGCCGCGAAGCGCGGCGACGACGCGGAGCTCGCCGACGAGACGCCCGACCGCGCGTCCGACGCGAGCTCCGACGAGACCGTCGCGGACGACGAGGAGCTCGGCGACGACGACGACGACCCGGGCTCCGACAGCTCCGCGGACTCGACGCCCCGGCGCAGGCCGAAGAAGCGCCGGCCCCGGAAGAAGGCCGAGAGCTCGAGCGAGTCCGAGCCCGACTCGCCCCCGAAATCCGTCGTGAGCGGCGACAGCCGCCGGTCGCGCCTGTTCGACGACCGCGACCGGCGGCGGCGCCTCCGCTCCGCGGACGACGACGACGACGCGCGGTCCGCGGCCCTCGACGACGAGGGCGACCGCTGGCGCCGCGCGAAGCCCCGGGGCGGGGCCAACTCCATGCTCGCGTCGCTTCTGGGCGCGCCGCTCCACCGCAGCGGCGCGCCGGGCGCGCCGCCGACGGCGCCGCCGGCGCTCGGCGCGACGCTGACGACGGCCGTCGGCGGGCCGCGCGCGTCCGCGGAGGACCTGAGCCGCGCGGCGCGCGCGAAGCTCGCGCGGAACGGCTACCCGACCGTCGTCCTCGACGACGCGCGCGCGCTCGTCCCCGGCGACGCGAGCCTCGAGGCGCTGGGCCGCGGCGGGCCCCGCTACGACCTGGCCCTGGAGGCGTCGGATCCGCTGAGCTTGCACGAGGTCACGATCCAGTTCGCGGCCTTTCGCGGCGCGACGCCGACGTCCGCCCTGCCCAAGGCCCTCTACTTCACGTACCAGTTCTACAACCTGCCGCCGACGCGCACGGAGCGGCTGCGCCTCCTGCGCGCGGCCGCGGACCGCGGGCCCCTGGACCGCGGCGCGCTCGAGGCGCCGAACGACGCCGCGCGGCTCCTGGCGCGCGACTCGGGCTCGGGCGGCCGCCGGAGCCGCCACGCGGCCGACGACGAGCCGCCGCTGATCTTGAAGTACGCCGTCGACACGTCCGCGTCCATGCCCAACGAGGGCCGCGTCTTCGCGGAGTACCTGGCCCTCAAGGCGCTCTACGTCGACGTCTGGGACGCGGACTCGCGCCTCCACGTCGGCACGTGCTGCGTGCCCCTCGACAAGTTGCTGCGCCAGCGGTCGCCCGTCGCGAAGCTCGCGGCGGAGCACGCCGTCGTCGCGCCCTTCGGGCTCGTCGACGAGGGCTCCTACGGCACGATGAACGAGAACTTCGCGACGCCGGCGTCCGTCGGGGGCCGCGGCGGCGCGGCCGCGGACGCGGCGTCCGCCGGCGTGTCCGGCGCGGTCGTCGGCCACGTGCAGATCGTGTGCTGCAACTACGGCGAGGAGGGCAAGGGGAGTCTGACGACGAAGAAGGCCGACGACGAGCGGCCCCTGAAGGACGCGCTGGGCCGGAGCCTGGACTGGCGGAAGGCGTCGTCGAACCGCGGCGGCTCGAAGGACCTCGCGACGATCTACGGCGGCGTCGACGCCGCGCGCGGCGGCGACGACGCGCTCCGGCGGTCCTACGACGGCGGCAAGAAGGGCCCGCGGCGCCGGCCGGGCCACCGCGTGCGCGCGCGGCCCCTCGCGGAGTCGAACCCGGAGCTCGGCGCGCTCCTCGAGTCGCGCGACCGCCGCGGCGGCCTCTTCGCCGAGGCGCGCGGCCGGAGCGCCAGGGACGGGCCCGCGGTGTCGGCGGACAGCAACGCGGTCACCTACGACGAGGTGCTCATGATGGTGCGCCGCTTCCGCGACGACCGGGGCCGCGTGCAGTACCGGGGCCCGCTGCTGAGCCTCCTCGAGGCGCCGAACCTCAAGGCCCTCGAGGCGCAGCTCATCCGCGTGTTGACCAAGGCCGAGGCCAAGGGCACGACGCTCGAGCGGGCCTTCGCCTACTTCGACCAGGACCACGGCGGCACGATCTCCGTCGTCGAGCTCGAGGACGCGCTCCGCGCGCTGGGCTGCTTCCGGGGCGCGAACTCGGGAGGCGTCGTGCTCCTGCTCAAGCGCTTCGACGAGAACGGCGACGGCGTCATCAGCCTCGACGAGTTCCTCGCCTTCGTGCGCCAGCGGCAGCGCGAGTACAAGGAGCGTAAAGGGCTCCTGGAGCGGAAGCCCGTCGCGAACGAGGCCGCGCTCCTCGAGGCGCGCGTCAAGGCCATCTTCCTCAAGGCCGAGGAGCTCGGCGTCTCCGTCGTCGACGCGTTCAACGAGTTCGACGCCGACGGCAACGGCCAGCTCACGGTCGGCGAGTTCGGCGACGCGCTGAGGTCGCTCGGCACGTTCAGCGACCTCAAGCCCCGGGAGGTCAAGGCCTTCTTCGACCACCGCGACCGGGACGGCAACGGCACGCTCGAGCTCGAGGAGCTCTTCGCGCTCATGGGCCGCGACTACGCGGACCACCTCGTGCTCAAGCTGTCGCGGATCTTGGACGGCGTCGAGCGCAAGGGCACGATGATCGCGGACTGCTTCGCGGCCTGGGACGCGGACGGCGGCGGCTCCTTGAGCCGCGGCGAGCTGACCCGGGGCCTCCGGAGCCTGGGCATCTTCAACCACATGAAGCCCCGGGACGTGGAGAAGCTTTTGGACAAGCTCGACGACGACAAGTCGGGCGACATCGACATCAAGGAGTTCTACCTCTTCGCGAAGCGCGACTACGGCGCGTTCGTCGAGGCGCGCGTACGCGCGGTGCTCCGCGTCGCCGAGGCGAAGCACGGCGTGCCCCTGGACGCGGCGTTCCGCGAGTGGGACAAGGACGGCGGCCGGTCCATCTCCCTCGACGAGCTCCGCCGCGGCCTCGACGAGCTCGGCGTCTTCAAGGGCGTCGACGAGGGCGACATCAAGAAGCTCCTCAAGAAGCTCGACGACGACGACTCCGGCGAGATCAACATGGCCGAGTTCCTGGGCTTCGCGGGCTGCGACTACAGCGCCGTGCTCGCGCGGCGGCTCCGCGCGATCCTGCTCAACGCGGAGGAGCGCGGCACCACTCTAGAAGCCGCCTTCGCGGAGTGGGACAAGGACGGCGGCGGCACCATCGACCACGCGGAGCTCAAGGCCGGCCTGAAGGCGCTGGGCACCTTCGCGGACATGTCCGGCGACGGCCGCGACGACCAGGCGGACGTCGACAAGCTCGTGCGCTACTTCGACCGCGACGGCGACGGGTCCATCTCCGTGCGGGAGCTGCTCCGCTTCATGGGCCGCGACCCCATCTCGTCCATCGAGGCGAAGCTCCGCCAGATCGTCCACGCGTCCGGCATCGGCGCGGACGAGGCCTTCAAGCACTTCGACAAGGACGGCGACGGGTCCATCACGCGCGACGAGCTCGCCGAGGGCTTGCGGGAGCTGCCGGGCCTCGAGGACATCACGAACGCCGAGGCCGCGGCGCTCGCCAAGCTCTACGACGCGAACGGCGACGACGAGATCCAGCTCGACGAGTTCACGCGGCAGCTCGGCGCGTCCGCGGCCGTCGGCGACGCGGAGCGCCTCGTGCTCGGCGCGCTGCGCGCGGCCGTGCTGAAGCTGCGGGGCGAGGCCACGGGCCGCCGCGCGCTCGAGGACGCGCTCCAGCGCCGCGCGAGCCGCGCGGGCGTCGTCGACGACGCCGCGCTCGAGCGCGCGCTCGCGGACGTCGGCGTCGAGGGCGCCGTCGACGCCGCGACGCGGAAGCTCCTCCTCGGCCGCTTCGACGCGGGCGGCGGCGCGTCCGTCGGCGCGCTCGTCAAGTTCGCGAAGCGCGGGGGCGTGGGCACGCCCGACGAGATCGCGCGCGATCTGGGCGAGCCGTCCGCGAGCCCGACGGAGGCGAGCACGCGGCCGCCCGACGCCGCGGCGGCGCTCGAGGACCCGGCCTGCGCGAAGCTCGCGGAGCTGCTCCTGACCTTCGAGGCGTCGGGGGCGGACCTCGCCGTCGCGTTCAAGAAGCTCGACCCCGACGGCTCCGGCGACATCGAGGCCGTGGAGCTCTTCGAGGGCCTGCGCGGCCTCGGCGACGCGTTTGCCGATTTCACGTTGGCGGACGCGCGGCGCGTCGTCAAGGCGCTCGACGCGGACCGGAGCAACAGCATCGACCTCACGGAATTGCGGGCCTTCGCGCTCGCGGCGAGGCACGCGAAAGACGAGCCCGACGAGGACCCCAAGAGCCCCACGGGCGACGGCGCCCAGGACAAGGTCGGCGACCTCTTCCTCGCCTTCCAGGACGGCGGCGGCGATCTGCGGGACGCCTTCGCGCGGCTCGACGCGGACGGCTCGGGCAGCATCGACGCGGGCGAGCTCTACGAGGGCCTCAAGGGCCTGGGCCCCGTCTTCGACGACCTCACGCGCGACGACGCGAAGCGGCTCGTGCGCGTCATCGACACGGACGGCAACGGCGGCGTCGAGCTCCGGGAGATCGAGGACTTTGCGCGCGAGTTCCGCGCGAAGAAGACGGGCGGCCGCCCGGCCGCGGAGAAACGGGGCGACCGCATCGACGAGACCGCGAAGACGCTCCGCGCCGTGCTCGCCAAGGCCGCGCGGTCCGGCGCGAAGTTGAAGGACGCGTTCGCGGCCTTCGACCGCGACGGCAGCGGCAAGCTGAGCGCCCGGGAGCTGCACAAGGCGCTCAAGCACGTCGGCGGCGACGACCTCTTCCGCGACGTCACGCGCAAGGACGTCGAGGCCCTCGTGCGGCGCGAGTTCGACGACGACGGCGACGCGGAGGTCGACATCGGCGAGTTCGTGGCCTTCGCGACGAAGCCGATCGACGACGCGCCGCGGACGCCCGGCGGGCGCCGCGAGTCCGCGGAGCTCGTGCGCGAGAAGCTGCGGGCCATCCTGCTGCGCACGGAGCAGATGGGCACGTCCCTGAAGTCCGTCTTCCGCGCGCTCGACGACGACGGCAGCGGCGCGCTCTCCGTCAAGGAGCTGCTGCGGGGCCTCCGCAAGCTCGGCGTCTTCCAGGAGCTCGACGCCGACGACGTCGAGAAGCTCGTGCGCAGCGACTTGGACCGCGACGGCAACGACGCCGTCGAGCTCGACGAGTTCCTCGCCTTCTGCCGCGACGCGCCCGGGACCGGCGGGAACGTCGTCGACGACGAGGACGCGGACCTGGAGATCGTGTCGCGGAACTACGAATTCAGCCTCGACCCGGACACGCGCTGCGTCGAGAAGAAGCTGCGCCGGGCCGCGCGCGAGCTCGCGGGCCGCGGCGGCGACGTCCGCCTGCTGCTGGACCAGTACGACGTCGAGGGCGTCGGGTCCGTGATCCGCAGCGACTTCGTGCAGGTGCTCATGCAGCTGGGCCTGAGCCTCGTGGACGGCGGCGGCCCGCCGCGCGGCGACGTCGACGACGCGCCGACGCGCGCGGACGCGCTCCGCGAGCGCCAGCTCGCGCAGCTCGCGCGCGTCCGTGGCGGCGGGCCCGGCCCGGCGAACGCGCGGCGCCTGCTGCGGACGCGCCAGTCGCGGGGCGACGACGACGACGCGCGCCTCGTCGACGAGTGGGACGACCTGAAGATGGTCGAGTGGTACCGCGAGGGCTCGAAGCGCGACATGGTGAGGGGCATGCTCGCCAAGTCCATGCTCGTCACCGTGCCCATCTACCCGACCTTTGGGACGACGGCCTGGTTCGAGGTCGAGATCCACAACCCCTTCTCCCGGGCCGAGCGCTTCACCGTGGATATTTCCGCGAAGGAGCGCGAGCTCCGCCTCGTGACGTCGAGCGAGGAGTGGGCCCACCTCCGGCGCCACGTGCCCGCGGCCTTCGGGACGACGGGCGAGGGCGCCGTCGAGGCGGACATGATCGACGCGTCGGGCCCGCCGGGGTCGCCGCCGGTCGTGCTGCTCATGGCGCACGAGACGATCCGCGTGCCCTTCGCGTTCCTCACGCTCGAGCCGCCGAGCCACGAGCTCAAGTGGGGCGCGCCGAAGCACCGGGACCGGGGCGAGTCCAAGGAGGAGTCCAAGGACGCGTCCGAGGACCCGGCGCGCGTCGTGCCCGTGCGTTTTGTGGCCGCGGGCGGCTACGTCGTCGCGGCCGTCGAGGTCGAGGCTAGGCCGCGCGCGTGCGTCGTCGACCGCACGTTCCGCTTCTACCAGAGCGAGGGCGAGATCCTCAAGCGCTGCGTGCGCGTGCTGCCGCCGGCGCCGGCGCCGCTCGACAACGAGGCGGCCGTCGGCGGCTGGGCGGCCGCGCTCGCGGCGCCGCCGGACCGCGACGGCCGGTCCATGTACGTCCACTGCGTGTCCACCTGTGCGCAAATCAAATCTTCAACCCGACTTCAATGTGCGCGTATTCGAATGTTTTGACACGAGCACTTCCGCTGTGCTTCGAGAACTCGCTGAGAGCAATCGATTCGTCCAAAAATCAGCCGAATCGACTTCGATTTGACCGAGCTAGAGAATTCTGAAGTTTGGCCCCGACGTCCCAGCTCACTGGTTGATTTGCACACAGGTGTCCACGGGGCGCGGCGACGCGTCCGACGTGTCCATCCAGTGGCGCGAGGCGCCGGACTGCCCCGGGGCCCACGAGGTGCTGCTCAAATACGCGAGGGTCGGCGCGTTCCCGAGCGTCGGCGAGTTTTATGTTCTCGTCTTCCGAGACCGCTTCTGCGCGAAGCTCGCGGAGCTCTGGCACTGCGTCGTCCACAGCCGGCTCCGCGCGGACCTCAACGGCGTCGCGGGCCAGGCCGCGGGCGTCGAATTGGTCGTGCGCGGCGACCGGACGCCGCGCGTCGTCAAGGCCTACGCGGCCGTCGCGGGCGGCGCGGGCGGGTCCACGGGCGACGCGACCTTCGACCCGCCGGACGAGTTCCGCCTCGTGCCCCACGCGCACAACAAGTTCGCGGTGCACTACCGCGCGCGCGACGCGGGCGCGAAGCGCGTCCACGTCCACCTGGTCGACGCGGACACGAAGGAGCTCGTCGCGGCGTGGTTGCTCACGGCGGTCAGCAGCGCGCCGACGATCACGAAGACTTACGATGTTTGTTGCGCCGTGTCTTTCGTTGTTTTTTCGTCTGCTTACGTTCTTTCCTCCATAGGTCGAGCTCCCGATCGGCAAGGCCATCACGAAGCGCATTCCCTACCGGAACCCGTGGAACAAGCCCAAGTCGTTCGCGCTCGTGTCGTCCGACGAGTCGATCCTGCGACCGCGCGACGGCGCGGGCAAGATCACGATCCCGCCCAACGGCGTCGACTACCTGCGGCTCTACTTCCCCGCTGTGGAGCGCCGCGGCATGATGCAGTGCTTCCTCTACGTCAACTCCGAGTTCGACCAGTCCGAGGAAGTGTTCCTGCTCCGCTTGTTAGTCGCATAACGTTCGGTCTCGAATCTCCCCGGGGGTGGCGGCTAGTAAATCTATAGTACAAAGTGGGCGGGCATGTCCCAGGGCGGCAGGTCCGCGACGGAGGCGGGCGACCGCGCCGCGGCCTTGCCGTTGTCCGCGAGGCCCGAGGCGAAGGCGCGCGCGAGCACCGCGGCGACGGTCTCCGGCGCGGCGCCGGGGAGGTCGTCGCCCTCGGCGTCGCAGGCCCGCACGTCGAACGAGATCGCCACGTCGCCCGTCCGCAGGTCCGCGTCGAGCTGCGCGCCCACGTGCAGGTGCGCGCCGTCGTCGTCGAAGGGGCGGCGGAGCAGCGCCGTCACCATCGTCGCGTCGCAGACCACGACGCGGTCGTCGACGATGTGGACCTCGTCGACGCGGCTGTCGACGCTCCAGCAGACGACGTCGACGACGCGGTCGCCGGCGACGACGCTCAGGTCGACGGTCAGCGCGTCGATGGAGTCGAGGAAGATCGCCGACGCCGTCGGCAGGTCCCGCGACGCGACGAGGTCCCGGATGACGCGCCGCTTCTCGTCGCGGCGCGCGGGGCCGTACTCCTCGGAGAGCGGGTGGACGACGTCGAAGTCGAGCCACGTCGACGTCGCGTCGCGGAGCGACGGAAGCTCGCGCGCGTGCCACGCCTTCGAGAAACGGTAGTGCCTCCCGTTGACGCCGAGCACGACGAGGAAGTCGTCTTCCGGGAACGACGGGAACGCGCGGTCGCCTACCGAGCACGACGGTGACGATTTCCCACCCCAAATCTCTCGAAAATCGTCACGGCCACGGGACGCTGGCGGTCGCCGCCGCGCCGCAGGTCCAGCGCCGCGTCGAGGTCCCGGGCCGTCCGCGCGGCGGGGCCGGCGAAGAAGTCGCACGGGCCGCGCTTCCGGAGCAGGCGCGAGAACGCGCGCCGCTGAATCCACGTCAGCTCGGCACCGTCGGCGAGCGAGCCGTCGCCGGGGACGAGGCGCCGGTCGACCGCGAAGGGGCCGAAGTCGTAGCGCAGGAGGCGCTCCGTGAGCTCCTCCCAGGAGCGCGACAGGGCGCGGACGTTCCAGGCTAATTCGGTGCCGCACACGAACGAGGCGATGTGCCCTTGGAGCTCCGGCGGTAGCAGCGACATTGGGGGCTGTTCCAACTCCATGGGGACGGCGGCGGGCGCTGTGGCGGGCGTAAAACGTCGTTGTTCGGGGTCCATCAGCACGTTTGCGCCGGCCGCGGACGCCTCGATTTCAACGTCGACCTCATCGAAGCGCCACTACTAGTAGCGTCGTTGTCGCGCGTAGTTGTCGCACTCGACGCGCAACGATGCACCGCGCCGTGCTGTCCGTGCGCGGCGGCGACGCGGCGAAGCTCATCCACAGCCTGACGACGAACAACGTCACGGCGTGGATGGAGTCGGCGACCCCCGGCCTCGCCGCGGCCTTCCTCAACACCAAGGGCCGCGTGCTCGCCGACGCCGTGCTCTGGCGCGACGGCGCCGAGGACATCCTCGTCGACTGCCCGGCGTCGGCGGCGAAGGCGCTCCTGCGGCACCTCAAGATGTACAAGCTGCGGTCCGACGTGAAGCTCAAGGCGCGCGACGACCTCGCGGTCGCGACGTTCGCGTCGCCCGACGCGGCGGCGGCGGCCGTCGCCGCGGGCGACGTCGTCGCCGGCGGCGCGGACCCGCGGACGGCGCTCCTCGGCGGGCGCTGCGTCGCGGCCGCGGGCGCGGCGCCGGGCGAGCCCGCGGGCGCTTACGCGGCGCGGCGCCTCGCGCTGGGCGTCGCCGAGGGCGCCGAAGTCGTCGGCAGGATCCCCCTGAACTGCAACCTCGACGCGCTCCGGTACGTCGCCTTCGACAAGGGCTGCTACCTCGGCCAGGAGCTCACGGCGCGCGCCAAGTTCCGCGGCGAGGTCCGGCGGCGGCTCATGCCGGTCGCGCTCCAGGACGCCGCGTCCGCCGTGCTCCACAACGCCGCGCGCGCGCTGCCGCCCGCGGAGCCCGTGCCCGACGCGCCCATCGTGGGCGCGCTCCCCGCGGCGGGCGCGAAGCTCCTCGCGGCGGGCAAGGCCGTCGGCGAGGTCGTCGCCGTCGACGGCGCGTCGACGGTGGCCGTCGCCATGCTCAAGCTCGATTTTGCCCTCTCGGGGGACATCCTCGACGTCGACGTCGAGGGCACGGAGCTCAAGGCGAGCCCCTTCGTGCCCGCGTGGTGGCCCGACGAGCTCCTCCCCGAAGGGGACTAACTTGCGGCCGGGACGTCGGCCGGGTTACTAGTCCGACTCGGACTCAGGCAAAAGCGTCGCGTCGGGAAGAGATGATTAGTCGCGGCCGTACTCGGGGAGCTCGCTGTTCCAGCAGGGCGTCCGGAAGTGGAGGTAGGACATGACGAGGCTCATGAGGCCCGCGAGGCAGATGCCGACGCTCGCGACGTTGACCCAGACTTCCTGGACCTTGTCCTCATTGGGCTGGCCGGGGAAGACCATGCGTTTGCCGCGGTTCGGCAGCGCGCGCCAGCACGTCGCGTAGAACTCGATCGTGATCCCGAGGAGCGCGACGAAGCAGCCGGCCTCGACGGCGACGCCCGCGACCTTGGCGCGCCACGTGTCGTGCTCCGCGTAGGCCCGCCGGTAGACGACGAAGGCCGCGAGGATCTTGACGAGGATGATGGGGATGAGCAGGCCGTAGGTCGCCGTCCCGTTGCGCTTGCAGGACTCGAGCCACCTGGGCAGCAAAAGGGTGCGAAATTCCCAACTTCAAAGGCTCCTATCTCGGTCGTTTTCCGCTCGTTTCGGCTGATTTTTGGACGAGCGATCATCTCTCGGAGCGCTCTCGAAGCGTAGGTGCTGTTTCCGAAACGCGCGCGCGCGGAACACTCACGTTGAAGCGACGTTGAATCACCCTTTTGCTGCCCTGCGAGCCACGGGTAGTCGTAGAACGTCGTCTCCTCGTTCGGGAGCGACTCGTCCCAGGCGTAGAAGTCGCCCTCGCCCCCCGGTTTTTTGTGGACGAAGCCGTTGAGGCCTGCGATTGCCGTTTCCGTGCCTATCGCTCGAAACAACGCGGGACGCCGCGGCCGCGCCGACGCGGATCTCGCCGCTGCTAGCCTGGATGACGGCGAGGTTGAAGTCTTTGACGACCTCCGGGTCGTCGTCGCCGGCCATGAGCGCGGCGAAGAGCGCGATGAAGTTGACGATGGTGCAGAAGAGGATGACGCCGTAGGTCTGGCCGCGGCGGTCGTCGTACCACGGCGTCGCGCCCATCGCGCCAAAGTCGGGAAACTTCTTCCGATACACGCAGACGTGGACGAAGCAGGCCGTGCAGGGCACGCAGACGAGGAGGGCGAAGCCGATGGCCGCGGCGAATTCGAACCAGAGCGGCACGTTGTAGCTGCTTCTTTTGTCGTAACCGCCCGCGTCCGTCGGCGGCTTCGTCGGCGTCGGCGCGTCCGTCGGCGTCGGCCGTTCCGTCGGCGTGGGCGTGGGCTTCCGCGTCGCGCCCGCGGCCGCCGGGGCGTCGGAGGCGGAGAGGGTCGGGGGAAGCGTGGGGGGGTTCGTCGGGGAGAGCGACGGCGGCGATGTTGTCGGTGATGCGGTGGGCGCTTTCGTCGGCGAGGGCGTCGGGGCAAAAGTTATTGTTGGAGCGAAGCTTTCGGGGATCCCATCGAAGTCGAACTGGGCGAGGATCGAGGCCGGAACCCACCCGACCGCGACGCACCAGAGGATCGAAACGCGGCAACGCATCGTCTGGGTCTTGTGGCGTTTCCTGGCGAGCCTCCTCGCGGCAGACGCCTCGGCAGGCGAGCGCGCCGCCGATTTCTACCCTCCTTCGCGTTGGTCTTCAGACCAAACAGTATCCGCATCGACCCCCAATCAACGTTGCGCGCCCGCACGAGGTGATTCTCGAGATCGAGATGACCCTGGGTCCACCACAACACATTTTAGAGGCGGTTGTCGACGGAGACGTGGACACGGTTCGCGCATGGCTCACGTCAGACGCTCGTGACCTCAATGAAAGCTTCCCGTACGGAGATAGGCTATCCCCCGACGACGACCACCCGGAACTGTTTAAGGCACGCGGTACTCTTCTGCACGCCGCCGTCGACCCACTTGCCTTTACTCCCGATGGAGATCGGCGCGCTATGGTGAACCTGCTCTTGGCAAACGGCGCCGACGTAGAGGCGGTCGACGAAAGCGGGTTAACTCCGCTACACTACTCCGCGCACTTGGGTGACCTTCGCATGGTTGCTATGCTAGTCGAACGCGCGGGCGCTGACATCAATGCTCGAGACCAGGACGGTTGTACACCGCTCCTGTCAGCCATATTTCCAGACAAATCTCCGGACAAGTTCGAGCTCGTGCGCTTCTTGGTCATCCACGGCGCGGAACTTTTTTTACAGCAGCCGGTTTCGAATTCAGCAAGTCCGCGCCTTACACCCTTTCTCGATGTTGTGGCTAACGCGCGCGCCGGCAAAGCTGACCACATCGCCGACTGGCTCGCTAAAATCAGTGCCGCAGGGTCCTGGCGCCGATACCTCCGAGCGCCGCGACTAGCACTCGTATCTCTGCGAGCGCTCTGCGCGCGCGGCCGCGCGGCCCCGCCGGCCGTCAAACTCCGGACAATCAGCGCGGAGTCGTTGATATTCGAGCGTCTCTTTCCTGTGCCGCCTTCAAAGTTCAAGCCCGCTCCCCGTGCGCTCCCGGATGAGGTATTTTGGCACGTGCTCTCATTCTGGCGCACGAATCGCGACGACGAGTCCAAGTCGGAGGAAGTCGTCGTCGACGAGCTACGAGGCCGCGCGCCGCCCGGCTCTTTCTATGCAGTGACCCTTGGGCATTCGGAAATGGCTCAGATTAACATCCTGTCCATCAATTTCGCATGGATTACGAAGAGCGCCCCTGGGTATGCACTGCGTGTCTCTCGGGCCCCCGAGTCCATCCCTCTCAACGTCGGTGACATTATTTGCTGCTTTGGGTCGCTGGAAGTATTTGGCCGCCCTCTCTCCGAAATAGAGCGCGAAGTCCAGACTGCGCTATCCACTCCCCGCATCAGGCTACGGCTCTACCGGCCTTCCGCTGGCGTGGACGGGGCGCCAGCTGCGCGTGCTTGCGAGCTCGCGCGTCGAGCCGCCACTCCATTCTTCAATCTGGCGCACGAAGTCGAAGAGCCGGCGACTTGATCCGCGCGATAGCAAGTAAAAAGAACCCATCGTTACGACCCCCCCGCGAACGCGGGCGTCCAGATGGCGACCCTGGCGAGCTTGTCCCCGAGGAAGGCCTGGTCGTCGGCGCCGCCGCGCCGGCAGCCCGTGAAGGCGAAGGTCAGGGACGCGACGCGCATGGCGTCGCCGTCGTCGGCGAAGGTGGAGGCCACGTGCGCGACGACGGGCCACTCGGCGTCGTCGGGCGGGCGGTCCGCGTCCGGGAGCGGGTGCATGGGCACGAACGCGTCGCGGGACGCGGGGCCGCCCGGGAGGCCGAGGCGGCGGACGGCGACGACGGCGACGGCGCCGCAGGGCGACCAGGCCCAGACCCGCGCGAAGAGGTCGAGGTACGAGCCCCACAACGCGCTCCGCGACACGGGCGCGCAGCCGTCCGTCGCGACGTGGAGCCGGCCCCAGTAGTAGGCCCCCGGCGTGCCGGCGATGAAGGACTTGTCGTCATCAAACGCGTCCGTGGCCCAGGCCCCGAGCACGCGCGCCGCCGACGACGCGACGACGTGGTCCGGGTCCGCGGGGCTGTCGCGCCAGTCCTGCGCGAGGATCTCGACGACGAAGAGCGCCGGCGCGGCCGGCGCGGTCCGCGCGGCGCAGGCCACGTAGCGCAGGCGCGACAGCAGGTTCCGCCAGAGCGACCCGCTCTCGCGCGACATGTCCTCGAGCCGCGGGAAGTCGCAGACGACGCCGTCGCCCGCGAAGCGGCGGAGCGCGTGGTCGGCGCGGACCGCGAGCGCCGCCCGGACCGCGGCGCGCGGCGCGACGCCCGCGGCCGCGCGCAGGCCGGGCACGGCGAAGGCGTAGCCGGCGGCGGCCCAGCGCGCGCCGCGCCGGCCCGTCCGCTCGAGGCGGAAGAGGCCGCGCCAGCCGACGAAGCCGAGGATCTTGGCGGCGACCTCGGCGCTGAATCGGGGAAAGAGGCGGCCCGTCGCCGCCTCCGCCGCGAAGGCCGTCGCCGACGCCTCGGCAGTCGCGTCGACGGGCCGCGGCGCGTTCGGCTGCTGGAAGGCGGCGCGGGCCAACTTCAACGCCACGACGCTGTGCGTGAGGTCGAAGTCGACGCTCCAGAGGCTCGTCAGCGCGTCCATCATGCTCGACGAGGGCAGCGACATGGTTTTTTTTCGTCAGCAGAGCGTTGTTGTTGGCGCTCCTGAGTCGAAGCTCATGCCGACGCTCTCCATCGTTTGCGGGAGAAGGTCAATGGTGAAGGCCGATCAGCCGGCCGCGCGAGCCGCGGCGAGCGCCTGCGCCGTCCGTCGCGACAGGTGCCGCGACGGAGGCTCTCGGCAGAGGGGGGGGAATTGTGGCCGAGTCTCGTCGCAAGCCGCGCCGCCGCCGCCAAAAAAAAAGGCAGCAGACATCGGTGGTTACTTGGTGATGGCGGTTATCCCGGTAGCCCGGCGGAGCGCCGGGCGCCCGAGGGGCGCGGGGGGGAGAGCGTCCCCGGGACTTTGGCGAGTCGGGGCGACGTTCCGCGGCTCGGCGGGGCCGCTTAGGCCTCGTCGAGCGCGGCGACGCCGGGGAGGACCTTGCCCTCGAGGAGCTCGAGCGACGCGCCGCCGCCCGTGGAGATGTGGGACATCTTGTCCGCGAGGCCCGCCTTCTCGACGGCCGCGACGGAGTCGCCGCCGCCGATGATGGTGACGCAGCCCTTCTCCGTGAGCTCCGCGAGCGTGTCGCAGATGGCGAACGTGCCCTTGGCGAACGCGTCGATCTCGAAGACGCCCATGGGGCCGTTCCAGATGACGGTCTTGCAGTCCGCGAGCTTCTCCTGGATCTCCTTCGTCGCCTTGGGGCCGTTGTCGAGGCCCATCCAGCCGTCGGGGATGGAGTCCTGGTCGACGACCTGCGTGTTGGCCTCGGCGTCGAACTTGTCGGCGACGAGGATCTCCGAGGGGAAGATGAGCTCGCAGCCCTTCTCCTCCGCGAGCTTCATGGCGGCCTTGGCCGTGTCGAGGAAGTCGTCCTCGACGAGGGACGAGCCAACGGGCTTGCCCATGGCCTTGAGGAACGTGAAGGTCATGCCGCCGCCGATGATGACCTTGTCGCACTTGTTGATGAGGGACTCGAGGACCGTGATCTTCGAGGACACCTTGGAGCCGCCGACGATGGCGGCAAGGGGGCGCACGGGCTCGTCGACGGCGCCCGCGAGGTACTTGAGCTCCTTGGCGAGGAGGTAGCCCGACACGGAGGGCGAGAGGAACTTGGTCACGCCCTCGGTGGACGCGTGCGCGCGGTGGGCCGTGCCGAAGGCGTCGTTGACGAAGAGGTCGAAGGGCGCCGCGAGCTTCTCGACGAAGGCCGCCTCGTTCTTCTCCTCCTCCTTGTAGAAGCGCGTGTTCTCGAGGAGCATGGCCTCGCCCTCGCCGAGGGAGCCGACCATGGCGGCGACCTCGTCGCCGATGCAGTCGGGGGCCATCTTCACGTCCTTGCCGAGGCACTCGGCCATGCGCGCCGACACGGGGCCGAGCGAGAACTTGTCCTCGGGGCCGTCCTTGGGGCGGCCGAGGTGCGAGCACATGGCGACGGACGCGCCCTTCTCGAGGAGGTACTTGACCGTGGGCACGGACGCGCGGATGCGCGTGTCGTCGCCGATGACGCCGTCCTTGAGCGGCACGTTGAGGTCGCAGCGGATGAGCACCTTCTTGCCCTTGAGGTCCGCCTCCGACATGTCGGCGACGGACTTCTTGGCGTCGAGCTCGACCATGCGGCCGGCGCGGGCGGCGCCGGGCGCCACGAAGGCGTCGGCCACGGAGAGGGCGAGGGCGAGGATGGCGAGCTTCATCTGCGATTGGGGGGCGCGGTCGGTCGGACGTCTCGGGGTTCAAGGTCGGGCGTCGCGCGCGCGGGCCGCGGGATCGGGAGCGCGGGTTGCGCAGCGACGGTGGTAGCGCGTCCGGGGAGGTCGCGGGGCGTGCGGGGAGGTGCGGCGGGGAGGATGGGGCAGGGTTTCATTGGCAATGGCTGTCGGCGAGCTTGGATCCACTCGCGGACCGGCCGCGCAAAGTCCGGGCGTCGACGCCCGTCTTTTCTTGCAAAATTGCGAAGCAGGGCCATGGGAGGTGCCGCGGGGAGGGTGCGGGCGGGTGGCGCGGGTTCTGGCGGGTCGGAATGGGGCAGCGACGAACCTTGGGTTGGTCGTAGGTCAGTGCGAGGACGTGGAGATCGAGCTCGCGAAGTCAACATAAATCCTGGGAGGCGTGGGCCTTGCGTGGCGGCCCAAAAGACCCCCGGCGAACGTTTCGACAATGCCCCCGCTACCGTCTCTCCTTAAGATCCCCCAGCGTCAGCCCCCGCGCCGCTACCGCCTTCCCCAAGCTCCGCTGCGGCGGTTCGGGGTAGTTCTCGTTCGCGGCGTGGCCGAAGGACACGTAGAACAAGCACCGGGTCGCCTCGAAACAGGGCCCGCCCGCGTGGTGCAGCCGCGAATCGTACAACGACGCGTCGCCCTCCTCCAACAGCGCCAGCAAACTCGGCTGCCCGGCGCAGTACGACGTGATCGCGCGCTCCGGGCTCACGGGATCGACGAGCGCCGCGTCCATCGCGTCGTGCTTTTCCCTTGTCGCCGTGCCCGGTAAAAACCGCGTCGGCCCGAGCTCCGGGGGGATGTCCTGCAAGGCCACAAAGCAGGTGAACAGCACGGGCTCGTCGGTCCACTGCGTGTCGGCGTGCACCGGTTGCGGCGCCGCGCCGGGCTCCGCGACGATCGCCGCGCATTCCCGCAGCGGCGCGTCCAGACCGCCGCAGAGCTCCTCGAAGGCGTCGCCGACGGGTCCGTTCAATAATTCGCCAACGACCGCCGCGACGGTCGCGTCCTCGGGATCGAGGAAGACGTCCCAGCGCGTCTGCCGGTCGTCCGCCGCGGTGTCGTCGCGCGGGCCGAGGATGTTGCCGAAGCCGCCGTCGCCCGCGTCGCGCGTCGCCAACACGAGGGGCCGCAGCGCCGACGTTTTCGTCGCGTCGACGGCCTTTTCGAGCATGGCGACGTTGCCGCGGCCGGCGCCCCGCACGGTCTCCGCGAGCGGCTCGGCGGTCGGCAGCAGCTGGTACACGTCCCCGAACTCCTCGAAGGCGTCCTGCTGCGCCCAGGCCGCGGCCGCGGACCCGGACACGACGCGCGCGCGCCAGACGTTCGTGAACGCGCGCCATTCCAGACGCAGGCGCTCGTCGCCGGCGCAGTCGCCCTCGAGGTACTCGTCGACGGACGGGCGGTCCGGCCGCGCGAGAAAGGTTTCGTAGGCTTTCCGCGACGCTGGCGACGCGTCGACCAGAAACGCCTCGACGAGGCCGAGCGTCGCCGGCGAGTCGTCCGCGGCGGTGGTCTGCTGCTCCGCTTTGCCCAGGAGGTGTTCGATGAAATTGAGGCGGAGCGGCGCGACGCGCTGGTTGCGGTTAGGAGCGGTCCACGCCGCGGTCTGTCGCAGCAGCAGCAGCGCTGCGGCGACGGCGCGGCGCGGTCTTTGACGCATGCTCACAGGACGCATGCGCCGCGCACATGCACGCATGCTTGCGGGACGCATGAGTGTATGAGAGCACGGCATCATCATGGTTGAGGCCAACGCTGCCGCCGGCAATCCTAGCGCTGCCCGTAACGAGCGCGGGCCCATCGACCGCCGCAGCGTCGTCGCGCCGCGCCGCGCCGGCGCGCGACGCACGAGACGATGATGGGCGAGGATTTCACGGAGGAGGACCTCGACGCCGGCGACGTGCTCGAGGACGCCGACGACGGGGACGAGAACGGGCGCGAGCGCGAGGACAGCATCGATTTGGCGGACCTCAAGCCCATGGACGCCTTCCTCATGAAGATGGAGGATTTGGTGACGGAGATGGAGCGGCGCCACCTGCACCCGAAGGGCTTCTTCAACGACGACGCGAAGGAGCTCCAGAAGTACTTCGACCAGGAGCACTTCAAGGAGCTCGAGAAGATCAAGGAGGAGCGGCGCGAGCAGCGGCAGCGGAGCCGCATGAAGGCCCAGCTCCAGAAGAAGCGGCTCCAGCTGGAAAAGCAGCTGCGGGAGGAGCAGGACGCCGTCGCCAACGACCCCCAGATCGAGGCCTGGCTGTCCGTCGTGCGGAGCGATCAGACGCGGCCGTCCGCGCGCATCGGCGTCAACTCCGTCACCGCGAGGGCGTTGGCCAAGGCCATGTGGAACAACAAGTCGCTGACGTCCCTGGACCTGAGCCGCAACGACCTCTCCGACTTCGCCGGCGCGCAGATCGGCCGCATGCTCAAGCGGAACGCGGCGCTGGTGAAGCTCGAGCTCAACGAGAACCGGCTCGGCCCGCGCGCGTGCCACGCCTTCGGCGAGGCGCTTCATACCAATGGCACCCTCAAGACCCTGAGTCTGGAGTCGAACCCGCTGACGAACGAGTCGACGGACCAGACGGGCGTCGTGGCTCTGGCGCAGGCGCTCTCGTCGAACGCGTCGCTGACGCTGCTCAACCTGTGGCGCTGCGACCTGGGGACGACGGCGGGCGCCGAGCTCGCCAAGGCGCTGCACCTGAACTCGTCGATCATCAACCTGGACGTGGGCAACAACGGCGTCTTGGTCGCGGACAAGCGGCGCATCGCCGACAAGGTCGACGCGAACAAGAAGGAGACGCGGGCCATCGCGCTCCAGAACCACGCCTTCCAGGAGCAGCTCCGCAAGGAGGCCGCCGGGCGCCAGGCCATCGCCGACGAGGAGCAGAAGGCGCGCGAGCTCGAGGAGTGGATGGACGCGCAGAAGGACCTCCGCGCGGCGGAGCGCATGGCCGAGGCGGACGCGGAGCGCGAGAAACGGCGCGAGGAGGAGCGCGTCAAGGCCGAGGCCGAGCGCGTCGCCCGCGAGGAGAAAAAGGCCAAGGAGGAGGCCGCGAAGAAGAAGAAGGGCAAGAAGGGCAAGAAGGGCAAGAAGTGAGGGGTCCGTCGTAAGTGCGACCTTTCGAGCGCTCGGCGGGGGGCGCTGCGGTACCCGGCCACCCTAGCTTAGACGCGCGGACGCGACGACGGGGTAGCCGCCGTCGCCGTCGTCGCCGAGCATGCGCAACAGGTCCAGCGCTTCGAAAGAGTACACCTCCGCGGCCAGCGGCGCGTCGAGGGGCGCCCAGATCGCGCGGTCGATCTTCGGGCGCTTCGGCTTTGGCTTCGCGCCCCTCCTCGGCCGCCACTTGGACGTCTTCGCGAGCGTCACGTGCGGGGCGAAGTCGGGCTGCCCCGCGTGGCCCGCGGCCGTCAGCGCGGCCCCGGCCGCCGCCGCGACGGCCGCCAGCGCGCCGCCGGACGCGTCGTCGCAGCGCGCGAAGAGCACGTTAGAGCCGAAGGCGCCGAGGCCGCCGAACCGGACGGGCACGCGGTCGGCGCCCGCGGCGGCGGCCGCCGCGCGCAGCGCGGCCACGGCCGCGTCGAGCTCCGCCGCGGCGCCGTCGGCGCCGGCCTCCGTGAGCGGCAGGGCCAGCAGGCCCAGCGTGAGGTGCAGCTTCTGGCGCTTGATGAGGCAACTCCGGAGCTCGGGACACGCGGCGACGACCTCCGCTTGCACGGCCTCGGCCGCGGCGCCGAGGAAGTCCGGCGCCACGCGCAGCGCGAAGAAGTGCGTGTAGGCGGGCCGGGTGGCCTTGGGCGCTGGCGGTTTCGCAAGACGTGCAACCGTGGTTTGGGGCAGCCTCACTGCATTTGGTTGCTGCGGCAGCAGAAACGGCGCGTATTTTAACGCTACGACGCTGCCCAGCTCCTCAGCCATGCAAAGGACGAATAGAATCGATCAAAGCGCCAGCGTTAGTGTCCTTAGGCGCCGATTTTGGCGCCCATTGCGAGCTTCAACACTGCAAGTTACCTGCAACACTGTGGTTAACCCAAAATCAGACTATTCGAGGGACGGACGGCCGCCAGCGCATGGAAGACAGCTGAAGATCCGCGCAATGGAGATGAACCCGGCGACGCTCCTGTGGCTCCCCGACGACCTCGCGCACCTCATCATCGAGCACGTCGACGGCTTCGACCTCGCGCGGCTGAGCCAGACCTGCGGCCGGTGCCTCGCGGCGCACGCGGACGAGCAGGCCTGGGAGAGCGTCGTGCGCGCGCGCTGGTTCGACCGGCGCTGGCTCGGCCAGCGGCGGGGCCTGACGCGCGCGGCGAGCGCCGTCTCCGTGCGCCAGTGCGGCGCGGCGACGTGGGCGCGCGCGTACCGGGAGCTCGCGCGGCGGCAGTTCGCGCCGCGGACGTGGCTCACCCCCCGTCACGCGAAGATTGTGGCGCGCAGGAGGGTGGGGTCGGCGGCGGCCTGGGCGACGGTGGCGCACACGGCGGACTGCCGCACGGTCGGCGCATCGGGCCAGGGGAGCAGCGCGCCCGCGATCGACCTGCGCGTGCTCGTGCAGAACGTCGGCGCGGAGGCCGTGTGCTTCGACCCGGCGCGCATCGCCGTGACCTGGCTGGCGTGCGTCGACGAGGCGGGGCGCGTCGCGCCGCGGCCCTGCGAGATCCTCTTCGCCGAGATCTTCGCGCGCGGCCACGAGCGGCGCGACGCGCGGCGGCGCCCGGGCGTTGAGACGCTCGGCGTCCTCACCTGGGCCGCGGCCATCGTCCGCGTCGCCGTGCCGGACTGCTACTACGAGGGCGACTTCCTCGAGCGCGCCGTCGAGCTCCGCGTGCCCTTCGTCGAGACCGGCTCGCCGCGCCACGCGCTCTCGGCGCGCGAGAGCCGGCTCCTGCTCGAGACGGGCTCCGCGGCGCCGCAGCTCCTCACGATGCCCTTCGTCGGCCCGGAGCACGTCCACCGCTGGTACACGGAGCTCCCGGGCGGCTGCGTCGTCCTCGCCACGGGGCTCTGATTTTGCGAGCCACTTCCTAAAAAGAGTTACTTCAAAGTTCGGCCCGCTTTTTGCTCGCCGCACTCACGCATGTCTAAAAGAAGAGTTACTTCGGCCCGCGCCGACCGCCGCCTCGCTGGATGGGCGACGTCGCCGGCGCGGTGCCCGGCCGTCGGAGCTCCGCGGTCCCCGGCCGCGGCAGGGGCGTGCCCGACGACGCGCCCGGCCGCGGCAGGGGCGCGCCGCGCGACGACGCGGTCCCCGGCCGCGGCACCGTGCGCATGGACGCGAGGGACGTGGGCCGCGAGACGCCTACGTACGCCGACGGTTCGCGGTTTCCCCGCCCAAAGTCCCTCGGAGCCGCGGGGACACCGCGGCGCGCCGCTCGCCGTCCCCGGCCGCGACTCCGTCGACAGCGTCGGCACGCTCAGCGACTTCTCGGCGCGCTGCTCGCGCTCCCAGGCCTCGAGCGCGTCCATGCGCGACTTCGTGCGCGCGGTCAGGGGCACGTCGAAGCCCTCGATCTCCAGGCGGTTCGGCTTCTTCGGCGCCGGCGCCGGCGCGCCGCCGCCGCCGCCGCCGTCGCCGTCGAGGGCCGCGTCGAGGTTCGCGGCCGTCGCCTCGACGCCCTTGGGCGCCTCGGGCGGCGGCCCCGCGGCGAGCACGACCTCGGGCCGCGCCCGCGCCGCGGGGCTGAGGAGCCCCATGAGGTCGAAGATCCAGTAGTCCGCCTGGCCCGCGAGGTCCTTGGCCGCGGCGTAGGGCCCCACGAGGATCGCCGCCGCGAAGCCCGCGTTCCGCGCGGCGAGGAGGTCGCTCGCGGAGTCGCCGACCATCGCGCACCGGTTCGGCGGCGCCCCGAGGGCCCCCGCGGCGCGGAAGAGCATGGACGGCCCGGGCTTGGCGCCGAAGCCGGAGTCCGCGGCGACGACCGTCGCGAAGGCCGACGTGAGGCCCAGCCTATCGAGCCTGTGCCGAATTCAACCACTGGTTTGGGTGGTCCTGACCAAACTTCAGAATTCTCTAGCTCGGTCAAATCGAAGTCGATTCGGCTGATTTTTGGACGAATCGATCGCTCTCGTCGAGTTCTCGAAGCACAGCCGAAAGCCTCGCGTCGAAACGGTCGCATATACTCACATTGAAGTCGAGTTGAAGATTTGAATTCCACACAGTATCGAGCTGGCGCTTCGTCGGCCGCTCCTCGTCGTTCGTCGCCACGGCCAGCGGCAGGCCCGCCTCGCGGAGGTACCCGAGCAGCTCCCCCGCGCGGGGCGCCAGCGCCGCCCGCTCGCAGGCGCCGTCGGCCATGGCGTCGACGAGGGCGCGGCCCTGGCCGTACGTGTGCGCGTCGAGCCGCGCGGCGAGCCTCGCGTTCGACTCGTGGACGGCCGCGGCGCCGGGCCGGCACTTGCGGTGCCGCAGGTCGTAGCCGAGCTCGTCGGCGATGGCCTGCTGCCGCGCGAGGTCCCCGACGGCGGCCTTGCGGATGGCCGCGAAGATCGCCGGGTCCCAGGTCTCGGCGAAGTCGAGCAGCGTGCCGTCCTTGTCGAAGACGATGCCCTGGAAGCGGCTGCACAGCGGCATGGACTCGTCGAAATCGAGGTCCACATCGTCGTCGTCGCCGCCGTGGAAGTCGTAGTAGGAGGCCATTGTCTATGCCTGAGCTAGCAAGCCATCTCGTTGTGGCAATTCCAAAGTTCAAATTACAGTGCATGATGCAGTTCTGGGGGCTGCCTCGAGTTCGAGCCGCGAACCACCTCGCCTAGGTTCGTCAACGAGAAGCACGTTACCAGTCGTCGACGTCGACGGGCACGTGCGCGTGGCGCCAGCAGGAGCCGCAGCGGCCCTGGCACGCGCCCCAGCAGTCGAACTCGTATCTCACGAGGAGCCGGGCGTCCTTCGCGACGGCGCGCCGCAGGAGCTCGCCCCGCCTGGTCGACCCCGGCATGGTGCCCTTGAGGCGGCCGAGCACGCGGCTCACCGCGGCGGGGCCGCGCTCGCGGAGCGGGTCGACGACGGGGTTGGGGCGCGCCTTCATGCGGAGGATCGCCGGAGCGCGCACGACCATCTCACCAACCACAGCTCGCGAGTGGCCGAGCGAGACGAGGTAGCGCAGCGCGCCGCGGAGGACTCGCGGGTAAATGACCGGCGGAGCCTCCTCGAACGTCGACGGGACGGCGTAGTGGTCGACGAGCTTCGGCACCGCGAAGGCCTTCTTCAGCACCTTGGCGCGCGTCTTCGCGTCGTCGATGTACGGCGCCAGCTCGCGGGCGGCCTCGTCGAGGCGGCGCTTCCAGCGTTTCCGCGCGGCGGCGTCGGCGAGGCTGTCCGTCCATTTCGCGCCAAAATGCACCAGCGCGGCGCCGCCGAGGACGAATGCGATGCACAGCAAGGTGTAGGCGACCGTGTACAGGACCGAACGCAGCAACCACCACACGAGGCGCAGCACATCCATCATTGCTGCATGAGTGGGCAGCCCTCGGCAGCGATGCACAAAAGCTAGCAGCCAACCACAGCCAAGGAATCAGCAATGGAGGTTTACGCCGGAGGGTCGCGCTGGACTCGAGCCTCGAACGCGCAGGTCGGGGCAGCCGGAAACGCCCAGCCCATCACTCTATTAGCATCGATGTTGACGCCATCGAGCCGGAATCGAGCGGCGCGGCGCAGCAGTTCGCTAGCTGCCTCACCCGCAGCGTCGCGCCGTTCAGATCCGCGACCGCTGAAGACGCAACCCGCAGAACCGGACTCGCGCGCTGCCACAGCCGCGGATTCACGCGCCGCCACACGCAGAGCCACCGCGCGCTGCCACGGCCGCAACAACCGGCGGAGCCGCAAATTTGCCACAAGCACTAAAACGGGGATGTCGTCGCACCTCGTCCACGAGCCGACCGACGACGCCTTCGACCTCGACGCCGGGCCCGTGACGCTCGAGGCGGCGACGGAGCCCAAGGAGCGGCCCGGCTGGCTCGACGCGGACTCGGTGTCGCCGGCGCTCGGCCGCGACAAGGCCTTGGTCGCGCGCATGCTCGCCATGGAGCACCAGATCATGGCGGCGCTGCCCGACTATAACGTGGCGAGCTCGCGGTGCGGCGCCCTGCGGCGGACCATCTTCGCGCCGCCGCTGGCCGCGCTGCGCCGCGCGCTCCGGGACCGGTCGCTGTCGATCGCCGACGCGGCGTGGTTCCTCGCCGCGCCGTCGCGGGGCGCCGCGGCGCAGTGGCCCGAGGTGCTCCGGCGCCTCCTCGCGGGCGACGCCGACGACGACGACGACGACGAGGCGCCCAAGCTGTTCCGCTGCTGCGCGGGGCTGCTCGCGCTCGCGCATTGCGGCGACGGCGCGTTCGCGGTGCCCTTCGCCGCGGCGGGCGGCCGCGGCGCCCTCGAGGCCGTCGTTTTGGACCGCGGCGCCGAGCCGGGGGTCAAGGCCGACTGCGGGGCCGCGCTGGCGGCGCTCGGGCCGACGCTCGAGTTCGCGGCGCTCGAGCGGTCCATGGAGGCGTCGCTCGCGACCGCGGACGCGCCCGCGGCGGAGGCGGCGGACTCGGACTCGGTCGACTCCGAGGACGCGACGTGGAACCGCGTCCACTCGCCGACGAAGGCGGCCGCGCGGCCGCCCGCGGACGACGCGCTCGCCGCCGTTCTGCGCTCCGCGAAGCTCGAGGCCTTCGCTTCCAAGTTCGCCGAGG